TGAGACTCTGCCTGTAAATGCCAGCATGCCCTATAAGTGGCAGATGATATCCAAGCTGCTCCACTTCTGATCCAGCTCCCTGATTATGACCTGGAAAAGCAGTAGAGGATGGCCCAAGTCACTATGACCCTGCACCCAAGTGGGAGATGGAAGAAGTTCCTGGTTTTGGATCAGCTCAGCTCTCACCACTGCAACCATCTGGGGAGTGAGCCAGCAAAAGAATGATCTTTCTCTTTGTCTCTCCTTCTCTCTGTAGATCAACCTTTCAAGTAAAAATAAATATATAAATCTTTTTTTTTTTTTAGAGAAATGGACTTATCACCAACTTTTTTTTTTTTTAAGATTTCTTTTTATTATTTTTTATTGGAAAGGCGGATATACAGAGAGGAGATACAGAGAGGAAGATCTTCCGTCCGATGATTCACTCCTCAAGTGAGCCGCAATGGCCGATACTATGCCAATCCGAAGCCAGGAGCCTCTTCCGGGTCTCCCACGCGGGTGCAGGGTCCCAAAGCTTTGGGCTGTCCTCAACTGCTTTCCCGGGCCACAGGCAGGGAGCTGGAAGGGAAGCGGGGCTGCCGGGATTAGAACCGGCGCCCATATGGGATCCCAGGCGTGCAAAGTGAGGACCTTAACCACTGTGCCACCGCGCCAGGCCCTTTTTTCCCTTTTTTGAACGAATGAGCAGAGCTTGACTCTTATTCCTGCCACTCATTGTATAACCTTATACAAGATACAGAATCTTTCTGACCCTCACCTCCCCTGTGATTCAGATGCAAGATACCTTGCTGACTTTCAAGTGATTAGAAATCGTGTGTTCTGTAGGTTGATGGCATGGTGCCTAGCTTTGGACAGGTCTGGTAGGTGCTTGGCATACCACAAATGGTTGTGGTCCATGATTAATACTCTCAAGAGAATCAGAGGCATCCCACCGCTGTGGTCAAACTGACACCTAGTGGTGCAATTTTAGAACACATAGTGAAGGCTTAGCCACAACTGCGGGTTTGAAACTTCCGTTGGGGAATTTCCAGGAATTAACAGGTCACATCTAAATCCTCACCAAAAGATATTCAACCCTGACTACATACTAGAGTATCCTAGGAAGACTATCCTAGGAAGAGTATCCTGCATGGGAGACCTGGAAGAGGTTTCTGGTTACTGGCTTTGGATCAGTTCAGCTCTGACTGTTGGCAGCCACTTAGGGAGTGAACCAGCGGTCGAAGATCTTTCTCTGTCTCTCCTGCTTTCTGTAAATCTGCCTTTCCAATGAAAATAAATAAATAATTTTTTTTAAAAAAAGGACACACAAGTTTTGAAACATGGAAAATGTCTCTAGATCCTCAGAGCAGTTTGGCACAGTGTTTCTCCCCGATACTGGGCCAAAGGTAAGTGTCTTGGTAAGACAGGGGAGGGATCAGTCAGCTGTCTGATCAGCCAGTAGAGAAATTCAGCATCTGTGGCTGAGGAAAGGGATAGGCAGGATGAACAGGGGACAGACAAAGCAGCCATTCTTTATGAGAAAAGAGACTCAGTTACAAATGCCTCCATCAGGAAGGACAGGTAGGATTTGAGGAACATCTGGGTTGTTTCACCATAACATTTTGTGACTGTTGAGTAGGTTAACAAAAACAGGAGCATAAGGAAAATGGATACAAGTGTCTCCATTACACAGAAACAAGGGCACCTCTTGGAAACAGGAGAGGGAAGAGAAGCTGTCCCAGGCCCCTGCCAGGCTCGCTCCTGCCTCCGGCCTAGTACCTGGAAGCTGCTAGTTCCCACCGCCCCTCCTCACTGAACCATTCCAGCATGTCTGCTGTGTGCTACACGATTCCCACAAGTGGAGGCTTACTGTCCAGGAAAGCTTTTTTTGTGTTTCTTTTCAAACCTCTTGTAAACTCCTCAAGGACAAGGGCCATTTCTTCTGTGGCTGCTGTGTCTCACCCCATGCCTGTGGCCTCACAGACACACTGCACAGTCCTGTTGACAGGCTGACCGAGGGGTTCAGCTGGGCTCTCTTGTCCTGGAGCCAGCCAGGCAAAGAGTGCACAATGAAGTCCTTTCATTATTAAAGGACTTGATGGAAGATAGAGGGGCTGGGAAAGTACTCCTACAGAAGGATTCATTGTCTCGAATGCCTCTTGGTAGTCAGATCCCAGAAATCTTCAGGTTAGATGCAGAGAAAACTTTTCTAGGCCGTGGGTGATGTTGCTTTCAAGATTGGTGTCTCACTTAGAAGTAATAAATAAGTGCATGAATTATATGAGTTACTGAAAGGCAAGATTTTCCGTTGAGTACTTAATTGATATCCTCCCAATGTTCCCCCCACCAACTGCCACTATGTTTCATAGCTTCTAAAAATTCGACCAAGAAAATAATGCTTTATATATATGTATTTTTTTCATCCCTCATTTGAAAGGCAGATCAATGTATAGAAACAGCGACAGAAAAGAGGTAGAGACAGGGCGGGAGGGATGGATAGACAGAGGGAGGGAGGGAGGCAGAGGGAGATAGAGGTTATTATTCACCTGTTTACTTCCCAGAAGGTCAGGGCTGGACCATGCCTAAAGCTGGGAGCCACGAATTCAATCCAGATGTCCCATATGGGTGGCAGAAGCCGTTACTGGAGTTATCACTTCTTCACTTCGGGATCTACATTAGCAGGAAGCTGGAGTCCAGAACTGGCATCCACAGCACAGCCAGGAATTGAAAACAGGTACTCAGATGTGGGAGCAGGAGTCTAGAAAGCTATCTCAACTGCTAAGCTAAATGCTCATTCCATTTTTTATATGTCTTTTCAAAAAGAGATTTCTTTATTTATTTGAGAGAGAGAGAAATTCCATCTCTGGTTCACTATCCAAATGGCCACAACAGCCTGGGCTGGTCAAATTCAAGCCAGAACTTAGCAGCTCTAGCCAGGACTTGAAGAGTGACAAGGACTCCCAGTACTTGAGCCATCATCTGTTGCTGCCCAGGAGCATCAGCAGGGAGCTGGACTGGAAGCAGAAGAGCCAGGCTCAAATCTACTCTCCAGATGGGATGTGCCAGTTTAACGTGCTGTGCCACAATACCAGTCCCATCTCACTTCTTTTCTTTTTTTACTTTCTAAGATTTCTTGCTTTTTTTTTTTAATTGCAGAGGCAGATTTTTAGAGAGAAAGATCTTCCATTGGCTGGTTCATTTCCCAAATGGCCGCAATAGCTGGAGCTGAACCAATCTGAAAGTCAGGAACCAGGAGCCTCTTCTGGGTCCCAAGGCTTTGGGTCATCATCCACTGCTTTCCTAGGCTACAAGCAGGGAGCTGGGTGGGAAGTGGGGCAGCCAGGATGCAAACCAGTGTTCATTTGTGATGCCAGTGCCTGTAGGCAGAGGATTAGCTAACTGAGCCATCATGCCAGCCTCCTTATATTTCTAGTGATAAAAGTACCACGAGGAGGAAAAAAGGGCAGAGAGGTTCACCTTGTCGTTGTTTTCATTACTGAATATCTCAAAGCCTTTTAGGGGAAAACACTGAAGAAAGTAATATGGAGTCACACTACTTTGAATTCTGGATCTCTCCTTTTCCGTGGGTATTTTGCAAGTATCCTGGCCCTTACAGAATCTTATGATACAGATGGAGTTTACAGCAGCTTCATGATGCCTAAATCCTGCAAACATTAGGTACACTGAGGCACATGACAGTTGTTCATCAGCCTTGTGAAACTGCACAGTTGTTTCCTAGGGATTTAAGTGTGTCATACTCACCCACACAGGAGGGGAACGTGATTGGGTTGACTTTTTTTTTTCTTTAATAGTCCTGTGACATAACCTCCATGTTCCTCTGTGAGCTGTAGTTAAAAAACCTGCTCTAGGACAAGATAAGACTTGTGGACTGAAAAAGTCATCACAGCTGCTTCCTTTCTAGACAAACAGGATCTTAGTATCAGAGGGCAATATGTGTGGATTGCAAAAAGATTCTGAGTCTTTTGACATTTGCACTCTAGTAAAATTTTGGAGCTGGGGCCAGGCTCAAGAGCACAACTGGCCAATTCTTCTGAGTGACATAAGGGATCCCGTGTGAGCACAGGTTCATGTCCTGGCTGCTCCACTTCCCATCCAGCTTCCTGCTTATGGCCTAGAAAAGCAATAGAGGATGGGCCAAAGCCTTGGGACCCTGCATCCACATGAGAGACCCAGAGGCAGCTCCTGGCTCCTGGCTTCGTATTGGCTCAACTTTGGCCATAGCAGCCATTTGGGGAGTAAACTGGTGTTTTGAAGATTTTTCTGTTTCTATTCTCTTCTCTATAAATCTGTCTTTCTAATAAAAACAAATATTTTTAAAAGATTTATTTATTCATATTGGAAAGGCAGATATACAGAGAGGAGGAGAGACAGGAAGATCTTCTGTCTGTTGATTTACTCCCCACATGGCCACCATGGCTGGAGCTGAGCTGATCCAAAGTCAGGAGCTAGGAGTCTTCCTGGTCTCCCACATGGGTATAGGGTCTCAAGGCTTTGGGCTGTCCTTGACTGCTTCCCTAGGCCAAAGCATGGAGCTAGATGAGAAGTGAGCCTCTAGGACACAAACTGGTGCCCATATGGGTCCTAGCACATGGAATGTGAGGACTTTTAGCCACTAGGCTACCATGCTAGGACCAATAATTTTTTCCCCCCAACAGGCCGAGATGTGATTGTTCAATAATTTTTTTAAAAGAAAAATGTGGAACCAACATATTTGGTATATGACCTTTCTAGAGAAATATCGGCACCATTACCTACCATGACGTTGATTCTCTTGAACCCTCTGGGTAAACAGCAAGCTTGAAGAGATCAAGACTAGTGTTAAGTAATTTTTCTTTATAAACTTAATGACAATAAGATTGAATATTATCATTTCATGAGTCAGAAGTCAACCAAACCCACCATTGTCTGTGTCTTAGAACAAGAGAAGCATCCAGTAGCTTAGACAGAAGTAGCTTGCTTCGAGAAAGAGAACATGATGTTGGGGGAAAAAATAGGAAAATTTACTCGAAGAGAGCTGAGTTGTCGGATCCAAATGGCTCCATTTCGACTACATTGACTACATGTTCCAAGTCGCTGTGAAGTTTCTTGACAAATGGTGAGCGTTTTTTGGTTCTTGTGTTGAGGTGTAGAACTGGACTTTGTAACCAGGGATTCGGAGCGTGGGACTTCAAAGCCTGCAGAGAAACGTGAATGTATGAGTGTCTATAATAAACATGTGATCCAGGGTGAAAAGGCTGGCTCCCGGGGCAAGTGTCTTGAGCCATGACTTGTATGAATGATACTAGGCAAGAAAATAGCATCTGCGTGTTCACACTCTGCTTGCTTGATCCTAGGCAAGTGATCAATGTGGAGAACAGGCTGATCCCCTATCTGAGATTTAGGCATCTGCACCATGATATTTGGGGTTAATGTATGTTCCTATATTTTCACTATTTTTTTTAAAGATTTATTTTATTTTGGGCCCTGCATGATAGTGTAGTGGCTAAAGTCCTCACTTTGCACCCGTCGAGATCCCATATGGGCGCTGGTTCTAATCCTAGCAGCTCCACTTCCCATCCAGCACTCTGCTTGTGCCCCGGGAAAGCAGTCGAGAACAGCCCAAAGCTTTGGGACCCTGCACCCGTGTGGGAGACCAGGAAAAGCTCCTGGCTCCTGGATTCAGATAGGCTCAGCCCCAACTGTTGCAGCCACTTGGGGAGTGAGTCATTGGACGAAAGAGGTTCTTCTCTTTCTCTCCTCCTCTCTGTATATCTGCCTTTCCAATAAAAATAATATTTTTAATTTTAATATATATGTATTTATAATATATTTTATTTTTATTACAAAAATCAGAAATATGTAGAGGATGAGAGTCAGAGAGGAAGATTTTCCATCTGTTGACTCACTCCTCAAGTGGCCACAATGGTCCAGGCCGAGCCGATCCGAAACCAGGGACCTGGAGCATCTTCCGAGTCTCCCACAAGGTACAGAGTCCCAAGGCTTTGGGCCGTCCTTGACTGCTTTCCCAGGCCACAGGTAGGAAGCTAGATGGGAAGGAGGGCTGCTGGGATTAGAACCGGCACCCATATCAGATCCTGGTGCGTTTAAGGTGAGGACTTTAGCCACTAGGCTACTTTGCCGGGCCCTATGTTTTTACTATTGTGCAAGAGTAGCAGCAATTGTGGGATACACCTGTCACTCCAAGTGAACACCCTTATTCCTGGTATGTGCCAAGGGGAAAGATTTTGTTCTATCTTCACTCCATAAACCACTTCAGTGTTGAACAGTGTTGAGCTTGCATCAAGGTTAAGCTACTCGAGGAGTTTAGGTAGAGCTATTACTAATCCAAGTGTCTGTAATAGTTCATGGAATTAAAGGAGGAATGTCTTCCTCATTTCCAAACGCATTCTTAAGCTGGGGCAAATGTACAAATGGAAGCCAATCTTTCCCTAGTCTATATGTATATAAAATTATATATATTTAAAAGATTCATTTACTTGAAGAGAAGTTCAGAGAGAGAAGTGGGAGGTGGTGGAAGGGGGCAGAATTTTCCATCTGTTGGTACATTCACTTTCCAAATGGCCACAATGGACGGGGCTCGGTTAGGCTAAAACCAGGAGCCTGGAACTCCATCCAGATCTCCAACACGGAGGTAGGTCCCAAGTAGTTGGGTTATCTTCTGCTGTTTTCCCAACTACATTAGCAGGGAGCTGGATCAGAAGTGGAGCAAACAGGACTGGAATGGTCACCCATGGGATGTCAGTGTCACAGCTGTACTGGCTTAACCCAGATCATCACGACATTGCCCTCTCCTTCCTGCAACATCTTAATTGCTATACCAAATGCCCACCCCTCATTCTTTTTAATCATACCTAATCACAGTTATCTGAGTCACTTCTAGTTTTTAAATTATAAGTAATGAGCATTTTTGTCATATATCTTTGTATATATATGGTAAATATTTTTAAAGGATAGATTTCTAGAATCCTGGATCAAAAATATTAAAATTTTGATAGTGACGACTTACCATCTCACATTTATTCTAGGCCCTCTCAATGACAATCACTGTTAAATATTGTGGTATAAAGATATCCCAACTTGTGGGCCCGGCACAATAACGTAATAGTTAAGGTCTTGGCCTTGAACACTCCCTGGGATCCCATATGGGCACCAATTTTAGTCTCGGCAGCTCCACTTCCCATCCAGTTCCCTGCCTGTGACCTGGGAAAGCAGTCGGGGATGGCCCAAAGCTTTGGGACCCTACACCCACATGGGAGAACTGGAAGAAGCTCCTGGCTCCTGGCTTTGGATCGGCGCAGCACCTCTCTATCTCTCCTCCTCTCTGTACATCTGCCTTTCCAATAAAATAAATAAATCTTAAAAATAAATAAATAAAAATATCCCAACTTTTCTGGCGGCATATACGAATGTCAATGCATATATAAATACAATCACACACACACATATCCAAATACAATCCTGTTATAATTCTTATTCTGGGGCCAGTGCAATGGTTCAGTGCCTAAATTCTCATCTTGCAAGTGCCGGGATCCCATATGGATTCCTGTTTGTATCCCAGCTGCTCCACTTCCCATCCAGCTCCCTGCTTGTGGACTGGGAAAGCAGTAGAGCATGGTCTAAAACCTTGGGAGCCTGTACCCATATGGGAAAACCAGAAGAAGCTCCTGGCTTCTGGCTTTGGATTGGCTCAGCTCTGGTTATTATGGCCACTTGAGAAGTGAACCAATGGATGGAAGATCTTTCTGTCTCTCCTTGTCTCTGTAAAATCTGATCTGCCTTTCCAATAAAAATAAATAAATCTTTAAAAGAAAAAAACATATTCTGCCTACATACCCATTCAACAATTTAAGAAGTATTATTCCCCAATTATACATCTGAAAGTAGTTATTAATAGCTTGTTTTGTAGTGAGAACCAAGTACAGCCACAGGAAAAGTGATGAAATTAAAGATAAGTTCATTTCCAAAAGGCAACTCCCAGTCACAGAGGAAACTAGAGGAGAGAGATATCACCAAGACTATTGAAGGAAATCACGTGTTGAAAAAGAACAGGATGAGGTCACAGGAAAGAGTGGGAGGAGAAGATATTTATGTAGGATGTGGCAATGATAAACTTACAGTCCCCTTGTCACTGGACACAGAGTCCCCCAAGCACTTACAGGCAGCGATGTGTGTGCTTGGTCAACTGAAAACTGCTCTCTTTAGGAAAGAACTCAGGTTCTCAGTGGTAAGCGAGACCTGCCCTCTTCTTCAACATTTCCCCAAGCAAGCTATTACAGCATCCATAGCTTTTGCATCAAGAAGGAATAGGGCTCCATGTCCTGCTGGCCCCGCCTCCAGGAGCTGCCTCCAGGTGGTAAGACTTGGGAGGAGAACTTAGTTGGTTTAGGCCCTTGCTCTGTCCCTTGACTGGGTACCATAGTGTGGACCAGTATCTATTCAGTCTCACTGACCTTGTCTTATATGGGCCTCACAGGTTTACATAAGCTTCCATGCAGCATATGCAAAACAATAAACTCCCCACCCCTCACTGTTCCCCTGCCCAATTCAAGAAGTTCTCTGCAGGGTTGGGCTAAGTTGCTGCGAGACAGAACTACATCACATATCCGACTGCCTGGGTTTGAGTCCTGACTCTACTTCCAATACCAGTTTCTTGCTATAGTGTACCCTGGGAGAAAACAGGTGATGGCTGAAGAACCTGGGTTCCTACCACCCATGTGGGAGACTGGAACTGAGTTCCTGGCTGATGCCTTTGGCCTGGCCAAGCCCAACTGCTATGGGTATTTAGAGAGTAAACTAGCAGATTGGAGATTACATTTGCCCTTCAACTAGAATAGAATAGAATAGAATAGAATAGAATAGAATAGAATAGAATAGAATAGAATAGAATACCTCTTCCCTACTCTATCAACCCACTTCTTCCAACTAGGTCAGTGGCAGATAAATCATTGTATAGAGGTTTGCTTTGAGTAATTATAGCTACCATTTAAAATTGTTTAGGTCTGTACTAGGCATTGTGCCTTACAGCCATGATTTTGTCTTACAACAGTCCTCTGAAGAAGCAGGCTCCATTGTTGTGGCCACTTTATAGATGTGCTAACATCTGAGAGAATGACTTGCCTTACCTAATGTCACACACAAAAAAAAGTAGGAGGGACTCAATTCTGGTTGGTCTGCTTTTTACAACATTTCTTATGCCCCTGCTTTATGAAAAGGAAGTTGTGCCAAATGCAAGAGAGGACATGAAAAGACATAAGGAAATCCTTTCCATGAAGCAGTTCGGTTTAGGGAGTTTAAGGGGGACCATAACAAGGGCATAAATCACCAATATGCGTTACAATGTTAACCTTGTGTGAAAGTATCAAATCTGCCTGTGACAAGGGAGAAGATAGAGCCTTTGCCGAGATAGACTATGAAAGGGGCTTTGATTACAGTCTCCACAGAAAATGGGGAGTTAGCTTTCAGAAGTAGAAGCATGAGGGAAACATTTCAAGGTTGGATGACACAGGCGAAGGACAGCAGTGTAGTTTGCGGGAATAGAGTGGTAACAGAGTGGTGGCTGATCAGACCGTGATATTTGGTGACTTGAGTTTCTAGCTGAAGAATCTGGCTTGTGGATGGAGCCCTTGGGTAGATGTTGAACAAAGCGATGGTGAGTGTGAGGCCACAATCTGAAAACATGAATCTGTAGTTACTTGTGACATAAACAGGCACAGGAAAAGTTCAAGGTGAAGAGGCCGTCAGGAGGCCAGCTACTTGTAATAAGAGACCAGGGTTTCTCTGCCTCCGTGCTACTGACATTTTGGGTCAGATTAACGGTTTCATTATGCATGTTAGAGAAGGGGAGTTTATCCCTTTGTATTTGGGGATATTTAGAAACAATTAATTAACATTGTCCTACTTTATTTGCAAAGGAGAGAGGAAGAGGAAGGGAAAGGGAAGAAAGAGTGAGAGATGAATTCATTTTCTATTTTTTTTTCCAAATGCTGGAAACAGCCAGGGCTGAGGCGGGCCTAAATCAGGAGGCCAGAACTCATTCTGGATCTCCCACATATCTGACAAAGAACTACTACCTAAGTTACTACCTGTTGCCTTTAAGGGTTTGTATACACAGCAAAGTGAATGGGAAAAGAAGCTCTTCAACTTAAACCAGGCACTCTGACATGGAAACGAAGCAGCCCAGGCATCTTGCCTGCTGCGCCAAGTGTCCACCACCCATGAGATATTGCCAACGCCCACATGGGATGACCACGTAAGGTGAGAACCCCAGCTACTAGGCTATCCTGTCGGGCCTCAAATAGACTTATTTTTAAATTTCACTTTCCAAAAACTTTCTGAAACACTCTCTATGTTTCTTCTTGCTTGCAACATAGTACGGAGGGCAATTTGGTAAACCCTTTTGGAGGACAGTTTGGTAAGACTTACTAATAACTGGGGGCTGGCGACAGCTTGGCTGGTTAATCCATTCCTGCAAGTACCAGCATCTTATGTGGGTCCCAGTTTGTGTTCCCATCTAGCTCCCTGCTTATGGCTTGTGAAGGAGCAGAGAATGTCTGTGGACCACAGGCTTACCACAAATCCAAAACAACTGGTATCTTGAAGCAACCAAGTCCCAGTGCTATCTCTCCTTCATATCTCCCTCCAGTTGTGAATTACGGATGAAACCTCCCAGCCCCCCCCACCCCCATCCCAAGGCTAGCTCCTTCCCTCTCCTTTTGTTCACTGGCTATGTTGCTCTTCCCTTTTGAATTTCTTTAATTAACATTAAAAAACCAACCCTACAGACTGTTAATCTCCTCCAAGATCAAGATTTTAAAAAAGAAAAGCTTGCATATCCTGGCCTTTGTAACAACAGCTTTGTCACCCTGGCTTTTTGGGATATAAAAGTCTGTATGTTCTTAGACAACACACGTCATTCAAAAAACATGGATGATGGCCGCAGTGCAGTTTAATAAAATCATTTCTTCACTAACCATCTTCTGTTGTCTGTTTGATCAATCCTGACAGCCTGGGAAAGCAGAAGAGGAGGGCCAAAGTGCTTGGGACTCCACTTCGGAGACCAGGAAGGAGCTCCTGGCTCCTGGACCAGCTTTGCCTGTGGTGGGTTGGAAAATTCTCCTGTCTAAGCTGCATGTTCCTGGGTTTGTCAAGACCAAGATGAACTTGATCAACCAACAGACCTTGGAAAGATTTTTCTCAACCCTGCAGCAACAAAACCTGTGTCTCAGGGTTATCCAAACCATTCGAGTAACACCCTTGCAACACTCTCCCCTCCACATCGGCGTCATCAAATGACTGTCCCTCATCCCCGTGTGCTCTCTCCTCCCTTAGGGACACAAGAACAAACTAAAGCAAAACCAAAAATCTGATACATTTGTCCCACCTACCTTTCTGCAACCTTGACACTCCCCACCCTAATCAGAAGCCCACATGGGCGTGCATCCGTCTCAAATATGTAAACGATATTAAAAACAAAATTAAAAAAAAAAGACAGTGCTTTATGAAATGAAGCCATCTCTAGAGGAGAGACCCCTGTGCTCCTGAGGCTTGGGTGCAATGTCACGCTTTGCCTGAGGATATTCCTTGAAAATAGCAATTGCTGGCGGGTAGTTACTAAGAAACGCGCGGTGCAACAGCGCGTCCGGGAAAAACCGGGCAGCAGGCAGATAAGGAGAAACAACTAAGCAATCACCTGTCTTTCTCCTGGAGTTCCTAGTCAGTAGATTCCGGAGGCAAGCAGCCTCCGCCAAGTGAGGACCGTGGGAGGAGTCAAAGCAGAGGCGGGCGTGGCCTCCTCGGAGCGCGGAGAGGCCGCGCCCCCTTCCCAGAGCGCACCGCGGCCGGTGGCGGCGCGAGCTTCTTTCTGGTCCACGCTGCGCCGGGCTCCGGGGGCGGGGAGACGTGCCGGGACCATGGATGGACTTCGGGGTACCGCGGGGCTGCTGAGGCGGGGGCGGCCGAGGCGCCGGCGTCAGCCCCAGTCACTGAGCGGGTCGGTCCTGGCCCTGCCCTTGAGGCCCAGGAAGATCCGAAGGCAGCTGAGGAGAAGTGCGGCGTCCAGCATGGCCGCGCTCAGGGTCCGGACGCTGCCGAGCGAGGACTCGGAGGACTCGCGGGTCGAGTCGACGGCTGGTCATCTCGGGGACCCGCTGCCAGATGGCGGGGCGGCGGCCCAGTCGGACGCTGCCCGGCGCGAGCTGCCGGAGGAGGCCTCGTCGGCCGCGCGCTCCCGGGGCACCAGCCCGCCGGCGCGCGTTGGGGACCCCTCGGCGCTGCGGGGCACCGGCAGCCAGCCCGTGGACGGCGTGGACGGCGTGGACGGCGAGCTGCCCTGGGACTCGCCGCTGCAGCGCATCTTGGCCGAGCTGAACCGCATCCCCAGCAGCCGGCGGCGGGCGGCCCGCCTCTTCGAGTGGCTCATCGCGCCCATGCCGCCCGAGCATTTCTACCGGCGCCTGTGGGAGCGGGAGGCGGTGCTGGTGCGGAGGCAGGACCGCACCTACTACCAGGGCCTGTTCTCCACCGCCGACCTGGACTCGATCCTGCGCCACGAGGAGGTGCAGTTCGGGCAGCACCTGGACGCGGCGCGCTACGTGCACGGCCGGCGCGAGACCCTGAACCCGCCGGGCCGCGCCCTGCCCGCCGCTGCCTGGTCCCTGTACCAGGCTGGCTGCTCCCTGCGCCTCCTCTGCCCGCAGGCTTTCTCGGCCACCGTGTGGCACTTCCTGGCCGTGCTCCAGGAGCAGTTTGGAAGCATGGCGGGTTCCAACGTTTACCTCACGCCCCCCAACTCGCAGGGCTTTGCACCTCACTACGATGACATCGAGGCCTTCGTGCTGCAGCTGGAAGGCAAGAAGCTCTGGCGCGTCTACCGACCTCGGGTCCCAAGCGAGGAGCTGGCCCTGACCCCTAGCCCCAACTTCAGCCAGGACGACCTCGGTGAGCCGGTGCTACAGACTGTTCTGGAACCTGGAGATCTGCTCTATTTCCCCCGCGGCTTCATTCACCAAGCCGAGTGCCAGGAGGGGGTGCATTCTTTGCACCTCACCCTGTCCACGTACCAACGCAACACCTGGGGCGACTTCCTGGAGGCCTTACTGCCTCTGGCCGTGCAGGCTGCCATGGAAGAAAATGTGGAATTCCGGAGGGGTCTGCCCCGGGACTTCATGGATTACATGGGCGCGCAGCATTCGGATTCCAAGGATCCGCGAAGGGCGGCTTTCATGGAGAAGGTGCGCGTCTTGCTTTCCCGCCTGGGCCACTTTGCTCCTGTGGACGCAGTGGCCGACCAGCGGGCCAAAGACTTCATCCATGATTCTCTGCCTCCAGTGCTGACTGACAGGGAGCGAGCGCTGAGCGTCCACGGGCTCCAGATTCGCTGGGAGGCTGGCGCCCCGGTAAACGTGGGTGCCCAGTTGACAACAGAAACCGAAGTCCACATGCTCCAAGACGGGATAGCCCGTCTGGTGGGGGAAGGAGGCCATTTGTTTCTTTATTACACAGTGGAAAATTCCCGTGTTTATCATCTGGAAGAGCCCAAGTGCTTGGAAATCTACCCTCAGCAAGCAGACGCTGTGGAACTGCTGCTGCGCTCCTACCCGGAGTTTGTCAGAGTTGGGGACCTGCCCTGTGACAGTGTGGAGGACCAGCTCTCCTTGGCCACCATGTTGTATGATAAGGGGCTGCTGCTGACCAAGATGCCGCTAGCCCTGAGCTAGCCGCCTGCTGATGCCTGCAAACAAGGCAGGAGTGATTCCTAGATCACTGCCACTAGTTTTCTATTTTTGAATAAAGTGTTCTTACCTTAATGACAACCTATTTGCACTCACATTTACCTTTATGACTGCGTCGATGTCACAGAATTCAGACTCTCTTCTGGGAAAAATCGGGTCGTCTAGATACAAAAGTAAAATCAGAGTTAAAGGTGGTAAAAAACAGAAGTAACCTTGAACCCTGATCATGTCAGAGCACAACTTCTTCCCCGTTCAGTGTACTGTGTCATTTTGCTTGAGACTTTAGAGGTTTTTATTTGGAATTGAATCTTTCATTTGAGTTCTATTTCATCAGTTTGGAGGGAAGGCTATGTTAGTATCTTGTTATTAAGCTTACATGAACAGACATTAGAAAAGTTATTAATGTGCCAAGGAATGTTGCCCCCTTTTTAGGGCTAAATTGTTATATGGGATCGGGAAGCAAAAAAACCCAGAAAAAATGGCTGAGGTGAAAAGCAATTTGGGGGACCTGGCATGATAGCCTAGTGGTTAAGTCTTCATCTTGCATATTTTGGGATGCCATCTAGGTGCCAGTTCATGTCCTGGATGCCCCACTTCCCGCCCAGTTCCCTGCTTGTGGCTTGGAAAGCAGTAAAGGATGGCTCAAGGCCTTGGGACCCTGCACCCACGTGGGAGACCCAGAAGAAGCTCCTGGATGCTGGCTTCAGATCGGCTCAGCTCCAGCTATTGCAGCCACTTGGGGAGTGAACCAGTGGACAGAGGATCTTCTTCTGTCTCCTTTCTGTAGATCTGCCTTTCCAATAAAAATAAATAAGTAAACCTTAAAAATAAAAGAAAAAGCAATTTGGGATGGTTGTAAGATAAAGTGAAGCATATTAAAACAACCCTTTTTAATTTAAAAAGAAAAAAAAAACCTCACATATGGAAGGTAATTCTCACACCTGGGGTTAATTTGCTTATCTTTATTATGCTATTTGAATACCAATCAGCACAATTTCAAAGCTAGTTTCACACTAGTTGGGTCAGCTTTAAGGAAACTTTGCCTTTTCTGAGTGCTTGCTTTTACCAGTGGCTGACACTGCTCACAAAAGCTGGCAGTAATATTACTAGATGTGATAATAACACAGGCATGAGCCAACTACTTTGTAGAAAGCTGGCCTTAGGGAAGGTTAGTGTTCAGTTATTTTTCCACTTTGATTTCTTTCTGGCAGTTGCAGGAAACTTGCCCAACTCTGACAAGTTTATGGAAAAGTGCCTGGTGTACCAGAAAGAGCACTGGACTTAGTCAGAAGACCTAGGTTTGGGGTGGTGGCTAGGAGGCAGCTGGCAGGGTGACCTGAGGCTGACACCACACTTAGGCACACATTTTGTAAATATCTTTTGATTCAGTTGATTTCTGCACCCTCATATAGGTGGTTGTCTGGTAAGCTTACTACCATATCTATTAGGTTCAGTTATTGAAACTCCAAAGCTTTCCAAAATCTTATTTGAGAGACCGACATAAACAAGAGATATCTTTGGCTCAAAGGTACACACAATTGCCAGGACTGAGCCAGGTAACAATCTGCATCTCAGTGCAGGTCTTCTATGTGGATAGCAGGAACTCAACAACTGGAGCCATCAAATGCTGCAGTTGAGCGTTAATATGTGATACGCAAGAAACAAATGAGAACAGGGACTTAAACTGAGGTACCCCAACATGAGATGCAATTGACCTAAATAGCATCTTGTTTTTGTTTGTTTCTTTGTTTTTTTTTAAAGATTTGTTTTACTGGAAAGGCAGGTTATACAGAGAGGAAGATCTTCCATCCAATGATTCACTCTCCAAGCGGCTGCAGCAGGCAAGAGCTGAGCCAATCTGAAGCCCTAAGCCAGGAGCTTCCTCTGGATCCCCCACATGGGTGCAGGACCCCAAGGCTTTAGGCCATCCTCAACTGCTTTCCCAGGCCACAAGCAGGGAGCTGAATGGGAAGCAGGGCTGCTGAGATTAGAATCGGTACTCATATGGGATCCTGGAGCATTCAAGGTGAGGACTTTAGCCGATAGGCTATGACGTCTGGCTCCCCCTTTAAAAATTTTTTTTAAAATTTTTATTAGAAAGGCATATTTACAGAAAGAAGGAGCAACAGAGAAAGATTTCCACCCAAAAGTGGCTGCAATGAATGGCCAGAGTTGAACCGAACTGAAGCTAGGAGCCAGGAGTCTTTTCCAGGTCTCCCACGTGGCTGCAGGAGTCCCAAGGCTATCCTCCACTGCTCTCCCAGGCCACAAGCAGGAGCTGGATAGAAAGTGGAGCAGCTGGGATACGAACTGGTGCCCCACATGGGATCCCTGTGAGTGCAAAGCAAGGATTTTGCCACTGAGCTTTTGTGCCAGCCACCCCCCTTAAAGTTTTTTTTATATTATTATTATTAATTTTTCAGTTGATATGCATGGTTTCTTTTTTCTTTTTAGGTTTCTTTATTGTTTTTCAGGTGCAAATTAGATTTCTTGATTGGAAAGGCCAATCAGATCTATAGAGACGAGAGGCGGAAAGATCTTTTGTCCACTGGTTCACTCCCCAAGTGGCTGCAGTGCCGGAGCTGAACTGATCTGAAGCCAGGATTCAGGAGCTTCTGGGTCTCCTGTGTGGGTGCAGGGTCCAAAGGCTTTGTGCTGTCCTCCACTGCTTTCCCAGGCCACAAGCAGGGAGTTGGATGGGAAGTAGAGCAGCTGGGACATGAGCCAGTGCCCATATGGGATCCTGGTGCTTGAAGGGGGAGGATTAGCCATTACACAAGGTCCCTAAGTAGCATCTCAACCACTGTCCCCATTGCCCATCCCATAATCTTTTTTTTTTTTAATATGTTTACAAAAGTATAGATGTACATAAGGGAAAAGTGATAACTTTCCAAATTCTTCCAGAGATACCACTACCTAAGATTTTTCCTCTCAAGATTTTTTATGTTCTCCATTGACCTAACTTTTAAGTTAGTTCAAATAGAACTTTTTTTAAGGGAAAAAAAAAATAACATGAATAAAAATATGAGACAGAAAGAAAATAATAAGAAAGCCTGAATAGACATTGCCTAAGAAAGGATGGAAGTAACTTTCCTTGATTTTTTTCCCTAAGGGGCTTGCTACAACTCCAAAAACACCTCTATGCTGCAAAAGGCTTTTTAAAGAGGATCAGCCCATACGACACACCCCCAGAAAGCTTACCCTGAAAAGCTTCTTGTAGAAAAGTATGAAGTTCCAATGGCTTCTTCCCTTCTTGGGGTTGTAAGTAAACATGTTTGGCTTCTTCCTTCACTTTTTCTATGACCGTCTCAATTTTGAGTATTTTTTGTGTCACCAAATCCTTTTGGCTTAGCATTTTAATCTAGATTGAAACAAATGATGTTAAAAAAAAAATAGCAGGTCATCAAAAAGCATTAATGAAATAACCCCATCATGCTTATTGCTCTTTAGCAGTACCTAATACTGATTAACGACTTTTTTTCTTATTAGTGAAAATGCTGTTTTAACTTTTTGGTCATTAATGAAAAGTCTGCTAAGAAATGCTTGGTGTGAAGTAGATTTTGTGAATTAACTTTTTTTTTTTCTTTTCTATTGTTTGTTTGAAAGGTAGAGAGAGAGATAGAGATGGGAAAGAGAGATCTTTCATCCACTGGTTCACTTGCCACATGGCTACAATGGCCTGGGCTGGGCCAAGCTAAAACCAAGAACTCCATCCAAGTCTCCCTTGTAGATGGCAGGAACCCAAGTACTTGAGCCAGCATATGTTGCCTTGCAGTTGCTCAAGGTGCATTGGCAAAGAGCTGAACTGGAAGTGCAGACTAGCCAGGACTCTTAATTGGTATTCCTGTTTGGGGTGTGGGTATCCCAATCAGTGCCTTATTCGCTATGCCACCATGCCCACCCCAGTAAATTAATTTTTTAAAGTTCCTTTCCCTCTAATCCTTCATCTCATCTAATAGCTTTGAACATTAGTACAACTCAGGGCTGGTGTCTTGGCATAGTGGATTAAGCCACCATGACTTCTGATTGCCAGCATCCCTTATCGGAACATAAGAGATGTTCAAGTGCTGGCTGCTCTGTGTAGGATCTATCTTTCTGCTAATGCTCCTGTTCCAGAAGAGGGGCCAAATACTTGGCCCCTGCCACTTATATTGGAGACCCAGATGGATTTCCAGACTTTTGGATTCAGCCTGGCCTTTGGTGACCATTTAAGGAATGAACCAGCAGGTAGAAGAGTCTCTATTTTTTTTTTTCTGTAATTGGCTTGCAAATAATATATTTATATTATGATATAATTATATATAATAATATATATAACATATATAATTTATTATTTATATATTTGAAGTTTATTTTACTTGGAAAGTCAGAGTTACATAGAGTGAAGGAGACAGATATTTGATCCATTGGTTCACTTTCTAAATGCCTGCAATGGCCAGGGCTGGACTGGTCCTAAGCCAGGAGCCAGGAACCTCTTCCAGGTCTCCCACATGCGTGTAGGGGCCCAAGCATTTGGGCTATCCTCCGCTGCTTTTCCCAAGCATCCAAGTATGGAGTTGGATGGGAAGTAGAGCAGCCAGGACATGAGCTGGTACCCATACGGAATCCCAGTGACAGTAGTCAGAGGAATTAGCCTTTTACACCACCACACTATTTCCTAAATCTTAAGAAAAAAAATAGAACCGTCTTTTTCAGCTATAGAATTCCTTGGATAAAAGAGCCCAGATTAGGAATTAAGGAAAAATAATAAGATGAAAAAGGATAATCTTGGGAATCAAGTCCAATCCCTCATTTATGTCTTTTTGCAAGAAACAAAACAAAAACAACTTGGATTTAGAGGATTTGGGGAGAAATGGAAAGGGAGAGAAACAGTATTTCAGAAACAACAATGTGGGGCTGGTGCCATGGTGAAGCAGGCTAAGCCCCTGCCTGCACATGGCATCCTTTGTAGATACCAGTTTGAGTCCAGGCTGCTCTACCTCAGATCAAGCTATCTGCTAATGGCCTAGGAAAGTAGCAGAGGATGGCCCAAGTGTTTAGGGCTCTGGACCCATGTGGGAGACCCAGAAGATACTCTGGTTCCTGGCTTTAGACCATTCCAGCTGTAGCCTTTGGAATCATCTGGGAAGTGAGCTAACAAATGGAAGATTCTCTGTCCTTCTCACTCTGTAACTATGTCTGAAAAAAAAAAACCTTAAAAAAACCTTGAATTTTTGAAGGCTACTTGATAGGACTAATAAGATTTTTTTTTTTTTACTAATAGAACCTTAAGTTTTATTTATTTTCATTGTATTTAAGAGTTTGAAATCTTCTGTTTATGCATTTACTCCCAAATGTTGGCAGCAGCTAGGGCCAGGCCAGGCTGAAGTCAAGGACTCAGGGTTTCCCACATGGGTGGTGGGCATCTGAACTGTACCCAACACCCACCCCACTGATAGGATTTTAGAATCCAACTTTGCCTATATGTTTTATATCTTGATAAGTTATCTGTTTCTGTTTTGGGGGGTTGGGGCCAAGGGATCTGAGGATCTCTTGAGAGCCCTGGACTTTTTTTTTTAAATTAATTTATTTTGTGCCCGGTGCGGTGGCGCAAGTGGTTAAAGGTCCTCGCCTTGCATGCCCAGGATCCCATATGGGCGCCGGTTCTAATCCCAGCAGCCCTGCTTCCCTTCCAGCTCCCTGCCCGTGGCCTGGGAAGGCAGTCGAGGACAGCCCAAAGCTTTGGGACCCTGCACCCGCGTGGGAGACCTGGAAGAGGCTCCTGGCTTCTGATCGGCATAGCATCAGCCCATTGCACTCACTTGGGGAGTGAATCATCGGACGGAAGATCTTCCTCTCTGTATCTCCTCTCTGTATATCCGCCTTTCCAATAAAAAAATAATAAAAATAAATCTTTAAAGAAAAATAATAAAATTAATTTATTTTTATTAGAAAGTCAGATACACAGAGAGGAGGAGAGAGAGAGAATGATCTTCTGCCTGCTGATTCACTCCCCAAGTGGGTGTGATGGCTGGAGCTGAGCTGATCCGAAGCCAGGAGCTTCTTCTGGGTCTTGCATGTGGGTACAGGGTCCCAAGGCTTTGATCCATCATCCACTGCTTTTTCAGGCCACAAGCAGGGAGATAGATAGGAAGCAGGGCTGCTGGGATTGGAACTGGTGCCCAGATGGGATACCCACATGTGCAAAGCGAGAACTTTAGCCACTAGGCTACCATGCCAGGCCCGACAGCCCTGAACTTTGTTTTGAAAACACAGTTTACACTTAATTTACCTTGTTATTGATCTTTTGAAGCATTTCTTGATTTCCGTCATTTTTAAAGTCGAGTATCTTCATCGCATGATAAATTTCCCTGAAAGATAAGGAGGAATTCTTAGATTATTTTGCCCTGTCTTTAGGGCAGAATCCCATCCCACATTCCTATTCGAATTGCAATTTTGCTGAATTTTAGCTGCAAAAAATGGAATGAGGATTAGTTATAGGGGTGTTACATGGTGTTTGGTACAGTTAAAGGAAACACTGAAGACCTTTCTGGCAGGGACTAAATGCTGTCTCACCGATTATTACCATAATCCTCTAAATGTAGGTGGTCATCAGAGAGTTCAAGTTCCTGTTGCAGGCTCACAGAGCCCCCCATGGTGCTTTACCACCTACTGTGGCAATAGGTACTTGATAAATGTTGGTTCAATAGAGGGATAACTTAAAAACCTTCTGGGGTGGGGGAGAGAAAAAAAAAACATGCTTTCTACTTTCAGTCTGATTTAGGATAACTTTTTGTTAGTCACTTGGGTAAGCAGGCACACAGCACAGGCAAGCTTCCACTGGGCAGCCTGGCAATGCAGGGACATGGAAGTCATGCAAGGTCATGAAAGGAACTGAAGATTGGGGGACATTCACACATTCAATGAACAAAGATGGGAGGCCAGTAGTACCAGAAGGAACTGGAGATTGAGGGCTTACCTTAGAACGGCCTCATGGTTCTCCAGGAGCAGCACGTCCAGGAAGGTGTCCTTAACCCGGTCCCCTTGAAGTCTGAGGGCCAGGATGCTGCGGCAAGCTTCCAGTCGTACACCTGGTGACTCTTCATAGTGGATAGCCCAGAGCAACAGGTCTGTTAGCTGGGGACTCACTTGCCCAATTTGTCCCAAAGCTGCAGAGATGAGAGGAAAGCAGGTTCCATTGTCACTGAAGACTGAGTCAGCTCTATGCTAACAGCTAGAGATGAACGGGAAAGAGTAGCAATAACTTCTCTTTTGTGTGGCAACTGGTCACCAATGTTGTGGCTAGGTTAGAGTGAGGCATTACCGCCAGGGGCTCTCTGGGTGGGGGTTGTCCCATCCCATCCTTGATCATATGGATATGAACATAGACCAATTACGTCAGATAACTTGGAAGAGCAGCCTAATCAAGGCTGGCTGATGGGAAGAAGTGTCACAATTATCTCCCAAGTTTACCTAGGGCTGATTCTGCTAGGGACCTGCCAAAGACCACGTGAAAAGAAGCAATGATATACATCTTAAAAAGAAAGCAGGAAACTTAGAGGGCAAGGTTTTAGATCTATAGCAATTTTGAGTCTGGGCTGACTTTTACAGAGTGCTGCAGTTGAGATCTCTAGGGAAAAAAACATTCAATGGTGGATACCTACTTGGAACAAAACTGATGGCAGGAACTGTCTTTGCCCTATTGAATTTGACATAGACCTACACTCAGGATCCTTTCCTGAAAACTAAAAGAAGACAGTCTTCCCACTCTCTAGCGTAGGGGGGGGGTATTTAATTTTGTGGGATTGTGATACCTCGGATGGCAAAAGCCTTGATTTTCCAGTAAGGATCTCTCTGCATGAGATTCAAGAGGCAGTCCAACACCTGGGAAGGATAAAAGGCAGGGCTGAGTGGGAGAACCAGAAATGGGGATGCCACTCGTCTCTCAAAGTGAAATATAATCTTTTATCGATTCTAGCAACAGATGAGCTAAAGTCTGAAGTACCAACCAGTACACAGTGTATTCACTCAATTGCCTATGAATCTATAGACACACCTCAGTCAGACTTTCCATTAAAAATCTTCAACTGATGTTATTCAATCCCATCAGCACCCAGAGCATGAGAAGGGGTTGCCTGAGGTGAGCTCACAGAATGCAGGTGAGCTCACAGTGAAGCCTGGGCTGACTGGGAGCCTGAGGAGTCCTAACTGCTGTGGCCCATTGTTTCATTCTGTGTCCCACAAAACGGTGATGGTACCGTGCTCAGTAAGGGAGGGAACAGCCCTCTTCAGGTCGGTCAGGTCAATGAGAACGTGCTTCCCTGACTCACCATCTTATCGCGGATCTGCAGGGCGCCAGCTGCCAAACAGGCCGCCTGCCGCACCGCTATAAAGTTATCTGAGAAGCAGCGCAGGAAGCTTGGGAGAAGCTTGGCGGTCATGAGTTTGAGGCCACCTATCAGGGAGAGGGCCTCCACGCGTTCCTGGGAATTCCCTTGACCCAGCTTGACTCTGTAATGCACAAGTTGGTTTTATTTTCCCTCCTTAAACTTTCAGTGTTTCCTCCCTCCTCCCCACACTTCCCCATGTCTACAGTAGAAAATCCAACCTCTACCCTCACATTTTTCCTGTTCAGCCTTATGTCCATTCAGTAACGTTGGGTGCAGACCTCAACCGTCTTGGGTACTTAAATCTCTGGTATGTAGTATGTGCTACCCTCTTAACTATGTTAAACAACTAAGTAAAATTAAGGTAAGAACTTGCACCTTTGTCACAGTCAAGGTTTCTTCTTCGTTGCCCCAAAACGTTCACTTCTATAGTTGGCTCCCATCCTGGAATGCCTATGCAGCCTTACCCACCCTTCATGAAACTGAGCCTTACTCTTCTATCCTACACGGAGTCTTTCCTTCATTCCTTCTTTTCTTTTTCTTTCATTTTCTCTTTCTTTTTTTTCTGCTATAGCAGTTGAAACATATGTTATTTGTTCCAGTTTTTCATTTGATTTGATGTTTTTTAATTTATTATTTGAGAGGCAAAGAAACAGAGCTCCTACCCTGTAGTTCACTCCCTAGATTTTTGAACACTGATTGAGCCTGAATCAGGCATCAAGAACTCAATCCAGTTCTCCTACGTGGGCAGCCAAGGACTCAGCTACTTAAACCGCAACCTGCTGCCTCCCAAGGATTGAATGCAAGAAGCTGGAACGGGGAGTAGAACTGAGACTCTAACTCAGGATCTCCAGAGTGGGATATCGCTATCCTAATCATTATACCAAAACCTTACCCTGAGCAGGTATTTTTGATTAAACATCCCTGCATCTTGTCTGTGACTATTAGGATTTTGTCAGCTCCTTCAAATACCTAAACATTGCCCCACGTCTAGTGGGCGATGGGTGTTTTTCCTAGCTACATTGTGATTTTCTAGAGGAACGGTTAACTTTTTACTATGCTGTTTAATAGAATGCTGAGCACACAGAAGAGCTCAGCACATGCTGGCTAGCTGCATCATAGGTCCCTTAAAAACTTTCTAGATGATTCTTTTCTCCTGTTGACTAGGTCTTACCTGATTGCATCATGCAGCTCTTTCCCAAGGCCCATTTGTCCCAACGCTCGGGCAGCCGCTTGCCTCACTTCCTTATTCCAGTCTTTCCACATCAGCTGAATCAGCTTACATTTCATATCCTATTATAAATATAATATTTAGCTATTATTGAATATCAGTTCTTTACTTGGCATCGCGCTAAGCATTTTATCCATCCTATAATTTCCCAAACAAACCAGTGGGGGCAAATGTTATTACCATTTACAGAGGACAGAAGTGTAAAGAACTTGTTCAAAATTAACCTGGTGGAATTCTGCAGCTAGAACTCAAATTTAGGTCTGTATTCCAAGCCTATCCTTTAAACTGCTGTATAGTGTCAAAATGACACAATATCCTTAGGAGACTGAAAATTTCAAAGGGATACTCAATGTGGTGGCCAACTTGGAAATTTAGTTTTAGTAATGGAAAGTCCCATGTTCTGGGCAAACCAGCACAGCTGGTCGGTCACCCTATAGATATATTTCTGACAGGGAAAGAGGAATCACCACAGTTGTGTAAACGTGCCCTGTGTGAAAGATTCTCGACCCATTCCCAGACACTGATGTTTTTCTACTGTAGGATTTAGCTCAAGAAGTATCTCCTTACTTAAGTCTCCTCTGCCCCTGGTAAGCACAGGATATACATGGAATACCTTACAGCTGCTTCTCTGATTGCCATTTATAATATTTACCAAGAGAAGACACGCTATCTTTGCATCCCCGGTGTTAGCATAGTGTCCAGCAAGGTGGGATGTGGTCAGAAACTGATTGCTTGCTGAGTGAAAGTATTCATAGGAATTCTGCCTCTCTTAACTCTAGCATGAAGTCTTTCATTCTGACATGAAGGTCTCCTCATCTTTACCTCATCCGTTGCTAGCTGTACATATCTTTTACTTTCAGTCGGCAGTTCTGTGTGACAAGTACCACAAAGGTGAATATGCAAGTGAATCAAATACAATTCAAACAATACCTTTGAAATGCTCTTTTTTTGCACTTCTAATGAGTAGCTAAATGGTACTTGTGCTGCAGGTTCAGGACTTGAGCAACAGGGTGCCACAGCCCTTGAGACAGAGTTTAGCCAAGTCCAAAACCTCTTCGAGTGATTAATTGAATGGCCAGATTATTTATTTATTTATTTATTTAATCCTCTGCTCCCTCCCCAAATTCCCTCCCTCCACCAAATTCCCCTATATTATTACTATAGCATAGTTCTGCATAAACAGTCACATGTTCATCATTGCGGGCATGGACAGTGGCAGATAGTCCAGCCTCCCATTGTCAAGATACAGCTAATAGTTTCATTAGTAATCCATCTTTGATCTGGAAGTAGAGATGCACACTGCACTGAATCTTCACATCTGGCCATGATAGTCTCCATTACACAGTCACCTCACATAAATGGCCACATTTTAAAATTTCCATATCAAAATGATGAGAGTCAAAGAATGGAAGGTATTCACTTCATCATGGAAATTACAGTGCTTGGGGCCATGTTGAAGACACCGTTGTAAGGAAAAGATATAGTAGAAGTAACATTTGCAAATTTGATGATGATTTGAAAATAATGATATATGGATCACTGCAATGGCTTGATTGCCTAATTTCTGGCAGTCTTGTTGCTCTAACCATAATATCAACTTTTTAAAAAAATTATTTATTTTTATTGGAAAGGCAGATCAGACTTATGGAGAAAAGGAGAGAGACAGAAAGATCTTCCACCTGCTTGTTCACTGCCCAAATGGCTGCAATGGCCGGAGCTGGGCCGATTTGAAGCCAGGAGCCAGGAGCTTCCTCCAGGTCTCCCATATGGGTACAGGGACCCAAGGGTTTGGGCTGTCCTTGACTGTTTTCCCAGGCCACAAGAATGGAGCTGGATGGGAAGTGGAGCATTTGGGCCACGAACTGGTACCTATATGGGATCCTGGCACTTGCAAGATGATGATTTATCCACTGAACCATCGTCCCGGGTTCCAATACCAGCTTTTTAAAAACAGAAAGTGCTTCCTATGTGTGTTGAGCACACAGGGACCCAGCACACATACTCACATAGCTGTGTTGGGTGATATAAGTTAGTGTGTCTTAAACCTTGTGATGAAGGACCAGCTTTGGAGAGGAAAGGCTGTCATTTACTGATACTTTATGAGATCCATTGATCAAATTACTGTTAATGCCTCTAAGCTCTCTCCATTGTTTGCCAATTTCATTGTGAATCCATTAATTCTTGGACTGCCAACACACTGAGAAGCTCTGGCATAAGCCATAGAAATACTTCTAGTGTAGGAGTAAAAGGTAGCACTGTGCGGGCAGAGGTTTATTTGTCAGAATAGGTTACTAGATATCAGCAAAAAATGGGAAGGCTTCTGAACCCAGCCTTGCTTAGGCTTTCCCTCCCGGAAACAAAGAAAGCAGCAGCTTACTAAGCAAACATTTCCACTGATCCGTGAGAATGCCCGGCAGGCCACAATCCTGTCCTTCCATTGAGGGCTATTCAGCTCCACGGCAAGCATGGTGTGTATCAGGGTCTGAGGAAATGGAAGGCATGCAAGGAGATTCACAGTCACTTGCAGAGATACTGGAACTCTGAAGTAATTACATCCCAAGAACACGAGGTGCTCCATTTTAGCAAATGGAAAGAGAGGGCCCACAAAACATGAGCCAGTTCTTCTATCTAAACCAACTGGATCATAAATCAAAGAAAAAATACAACTTTATTAATCTGAACAGGAGCTGACAGGGGGATTCCCTTTTTGACTTTATTTTCACTGCCAAGATGATCTGTATATTCCTTGATCCTGGTGAGTTTTGCATGCCATAAATAGCAAGGCATAATAATCAAGGTGAGTGGTTTTCAGTGGTAAACTTCCAGCAAAGGCAAATTCTATAGTCACAGCTCCTCACAGAATTTTCAAGCTGCTTTTCTTACTTTTCTCTGAGCTGGCTTGTCATTTCTGTCTGCATGCCTCTACAGCCAGGTTCACCCACACTTAGTCTACTTTCATTTACTTCCTAGGGATCACCCTTACCCACAACCACCTGCGTTTCAGATTCCTTAGATGCACCGACTTCAAATGCCCAACTGTTCCCAACACTTGGTTGCTTTCTCTGACCCTGAAATGGACACATACTGTTTTCTTACTGAGATGGCTCAGGAGGACGCAAGCCTGTTCCTCAGTATCCTCGTTCTTCTTGTAAAACAGCTGATGGAGGATTCTCTTTATCACCGGGTAGGTGGCAGTACCTTCTACAGCCAAGCACTGAGCAGCAGCCCAGCTATCCACAGTATTACCTGTCACAGTGGGGTGAAAAAAAAAGGTCCGGAGTGGTGATCTGTTCCCCTCATCCCCTTGCCCTTGACGGATCAGCCTGTGGATGGGTTTCCAAGGCAGCTACCTTCCTCGTGATTTCATGCTGCTGTGCTCCACTCAGTCTAAAAACGCAATCTTATATTTAACCCATATTCCAATGGAACCTATCAAGGTTTTAAATAGAAATTGAAAACTCTATAATGAATAGTTAAATTCCAAAGACTCCTGTAAGATAACAGCTAGGAGGCATTTCTGGCCTACCTGGAAGGTTCAGTTGTTTTCTTTCCCTAAAGATGGAGAAGGCTGGGGTGGGAGGCTTCCCTACTACAGGAATGTAGCTGTTGAATGTTTTTATGCAGTCAGCCAGCCAGTTGTTGCCATCCTGTGGGCAAGGAACAGCCCATCTGTTGGAGACAGCAGTTAGGTAACTTGGCCCATTGCCTGACAGCCTTTTCACTGAACAACAAATGGAGGAGGATACAGTTTCTAACCAACTGCATCTCTGAAAAACAGTCCAGTGACCACTTGGTGGCAGTGTACCTATTTATTTTCTTTATTTCCTTCTTTCCTCTTTCTTTTCTTTTCTTTTTTCTTTCTTTCTTTCTTTCTTTCTTTCTTTCTTTCTTTCTTTCTTTCTTTCTTTCTTTCTTTCTTTCTTTTCTTTCTTTCTTTCTTTCTTTCTTTCTTCCTTCCTTCCTTCCTTCCTTCCTTCCTTCCTTTCCTTTCCTTTCTCTCTTTCTCTCTTTCTCTCTTTCTCTCTTTCTCTCTTTCTCTCTTTCTCTCTTTCTTTCTTTCTTTCTTTCTTTCTTTCTTTCTTTTCCTTCCTTCATTTCCCTCTTCCTTTTCTTCACTGGAGAGACAGAATGTTTTCTCATTTGCTGGTTCATTCCCCAACTGGCCACAACAGCCGGAGCTGAGAAGTCTCCACACTCAGTGCAGTGGACATCACAGAACATAACAGTGCAGAGAAAAGCGCTAGGAAAGCCAACAGTGAGAGGTTTTTCTCTTCATCACAGAAATAACAAGCACTTACCTTTCAAAAGGACCGTCTGCATGATGCTCTGGGCAAGGGGGTTGCTTGCTCGGATGGCATATTGACATATTGCTGCTGCCATCTGCACATTGGCATTCTTGTCAGAAAGAGCAGCCTCCAGGGCGGGTTGTAAGACCTCTGGCAAGTTGTGAAGAGCTGGAGCTTTTGTAGATGTCTTGTCTGTGATCCAAAGAGAGCCAGGTCAGAAACTGGCCATTAACTTTCTTGCCAGATACAGCTGCCTTCTCACAGCCATGTGATGGCCAACCTCAGTTGCAGGTGCTTACTGATACTGTAACTAATGTTTAAATGAGCTTTTAGGATGGACGGGCTCTTCTGCTCAAGTGATTAGAGCACACTGCTGTGCTGGTATGCCAGTTCACGGTCCTTTATCTTCCGGCTTCTAAAGAGTTATATTCTAACCTAAGAAGAGTAGTCCTAGATGGGCTACAATGATCTTCACCAAGAGTTTTAGTGATAAAATCCACATGTTTACCTCATTAGGCTTTGAACTTTTTATGATTAACTTATTTTTATTGCAAAGGCAGATATATAGAGAGGAGGAGAGACAGAGAGGAAGATCTTCCGTCTGATGATTCACTCCCCAAGTGACCGCAACAGCTAGAGCTGAGCCAATTTGAATCCAGGAGCCAGGAACTTTCTCCAGGTCTCCTTCGCGAGTGCAGGGTCCCAAGGCTTTGGGCTGTCTTTGACTGCTTTTTCAGGCCACAAGCAGGGAGCTGGATGAGAAGCTGGGCTGCTGGGATTAGAACTGGTGCCTATATGGGATCCAAGCATTCAAGGTGAGGACTTTAACCACTAGGTCACTGTGCCGGCCCTGGCTTTGTACTTTTAATAATAATAATAATAATAATAATAATAATAATAATAATAATAATAGCAATTGTAGTTGGGTAGTGTGTTGTCACTTATTTACATAGTATTTTCCCATTTAGTCTTCTAACCTTTGTTGACTTAGGCAAGGCAGGTATCACTGCAGGGCTTACCAGGTAATCTTTAGGTTTATAAGAAAGGCAGAATTACAGAGAGAACAGAGATCTTATAGCTACTGACTCGGTCCCCAAAGACCATTAGGGCCAGAACAAGGTCAGTCTGAAGCGAGGAGCCAGGAGCTTCTTCCAGGTCTCCCACATGGGTACTGGGGCTTAGGCTTTGGGTCATCTTTCATTGATTTCTTAGGCCATAAGTAAGGAGCTGGATAGGAAGTGGAACAGCTGGGATATGAACCAGCACCCATGTTAGCTTCAGGAGCTAGTATTTCTTACAGCTAAGGGTCCACAAATGATATACCTTGTGATGTGTCCCAGCATTCAGGGAAACCAAGCATGATGTCCCTATCAGGTATTTCTTTACTATCTCTGTGTGTGTTTGAAATGCAGAGAGGCAGAGATCTATCTTCTGATTTACTCCCCAAATCCCACAACAGCCAGGAACTCAATCCAGTGTCTCCTAGGTGGGTGGCAGGGACTGACCATCTTGAGCCATCACTGTAGCCTCACCAAGTGCACATTAACTAGAAGTTGGAATTGCAAGCAGAGTTGGAACTCAAACCCCGGTCATTCTGTTTTTAATTAATTAATTATTTATTTTTAGGATGAAATTTTATTATACATAAAGAATCTTACCACTAGTGAAAGCAGACAGGCTAGGACACAATGGGACTGAATGGAGGATGGCTAGCTCTTTGGAAAGTAAAGATCTATTTTTTTTTTTTTTGAAAGACAGAGTGGGGGATGGGGAAAGGTGCTGGCTCATGTCAGGTCAAAGCCAAGAGCCAGGAAATCCATCTGGGTCTACTGAATTTATGACAGGGGCCCAAGTGCTGGACCACCTTCTACTGCCTACCCTGGCATATCAGCAGGGAACTGGATGACAGGGCTTGAACTGGCACTCCCTTAGGGGATGCCAGCAATGTAAAGAGTATCTTAAGTTGTTGAGCCATGATGGTGGCTTCAAGCACAGGCATACTGACAATGGAATACAGGGTATTTCAAGTTGTTTGTTTCTTTTTCTTTCTTTTCTTTTTTTTAAGATTTATTTTACTTTTCTAAGATGGACTGTGCCAATCAGTGGATTCTTCAATGACCTTATCGTGATTGGAATGGTGAAACTGACAGCAATTCATGACTGTTGAACTATCAAAACCACTTGAGCAGGCCCGACAGCATGGCCTAGTGGCTAAAGTCCTCACCTTGAACACACTGGGATCCCATATGGGTACTGGTTCTAATCCGGGCAGCTCCACTTCCCATCCAGCTCCCTGCTTGTGGCCTGGGAAAGCAGTCGAGAACGGCCCAAAGCCTTGGGACCCTGCACCCGTGTGGGAGACCTGGAAGAAGTTCTTGGATCCTGGCTTCGGATCAGCATAGCATCGGCCGTTGCACTTACTTGGGGAGTGAGTCATCGGACGGAAGATTTTCTCACTGTCTCTCCTCCTCTCTGTATATCTGACTTTCCAATGAAAATAAAAAATAAAAATCTTTTTTTTTTAAAAAGTCAAAGTTACAGAGAAAGAGAGAGATCTCTCATCTGCCATTTCACTCCCCAAATGGCCACAACAACCAAAGTCAGTCCAATCTGAAGTCAGGAATCGGGAGCTTCTTCCAGGTCTCCCACATGGGTGCAGGGTCCTTAGGCCTGGGGCCATCCTCCACTGCTATCCCAGGCCATAACCCAGAATTGGATGGGAAGTGGAACACTTAGGACTTGAACGAGTGCCCAGAGGGGATGCCAGTACCACAGGTGGAAGATTAGTGTGCATGGTGTAGGTTAACCATGACCTTAGTTTCCATATATGTGCAGTGGTCTCAGCTAAGTCCCGCATCTCACCAGTTCAGGTGTCCTGTGCAGTAACTCAGTCCTTACCTTCACCTGTGTCCCTGTGACTGGTGACAATCACGGGCTGTTCCAAAGCAGCTGTAGCACACGTGACAAGGGCTTGGATCCGAATGTCATCATGCATGTCTGTCAGGTTTCTCAGCAAGCTCTCGACCGTCTCATGATGCCACTCAATGACTGTTGTGTGAGGGAAATGAGAAGAAAACTGCCTGGTTAAGGTTAGCTGTGGCACTGCAGGCAGGGGACAGGAAGGGCAAACCATGACTCAGAATAGGGGTCCCTGAGAGGGGGTCTTTTGGCAAGCAGTTTCTCTCATGTTCTATGTACCCTTCCCCAAGTAGTTTATAGATGAAACTTCCATCCTATCTATTCCGTTCTTCTTTCCAACTAGAAAATAAAGGAGCCATACAACATAGTGGCTAAGGAACTTCTGCTATCGCTGCCGTGGAATTGCAGCTGTGTGATCTTGGAGACTTGACTTTGCCTGAGAGTTCTCATTTGTGATATGGGGCTAATTCTACAACTTCCCACACTGAATCACTTTGCTGGTTAAGTGAGTTAAATAGGCCCAGTGTTTAGCAAAGCACCTGACAAGATAATGAGAGTTCAATAAATGTTAATTACTGTGATTATCATTAGATTTCCTTGCCTTTGAGGGCTCAGCAGCCTCCTCATGTTAACTTGTTAAATGTTCAGTTTGCAATTCCTACTCAGTGTAGGTGCTCCCTATTCTAAGCTTTTACTCAGAATCTCGTTTTCATCTTTTTTCCAAATGATCTAGTTTATCTATTGCATTGCCCTTCCTTATCCAGCACTAACTAACCTGCTCGCGCCTATAATGAAGACCTGTAGCCCTTGAATTCTCAAATATAGATGAAGCCATTATTCTGCCCTGGTACTCAACCTTCCCCTTTCATGTCTTTGAAGAAGTAGCGACAAAATCACACATGGATTTTAGAGAGGGGCCTTCCAGATTGCAGTCAACTATAACATCGTTTGATCACTGTATAAAATATGTAAAATTAAGAATCTTCAAAAAAATAATGAAAAAATGTGTGTTGTGAAAAACCTATACAAACATTTATTTTTGATATCACTTTAATTCAATTTCCTACACAGTTTCTGATGTACTACTTATCATCATTTGCAACCTTGTAAACCATTGTATGTCCAGTGATTTGGCAGCAAATTTGTTCCTTCCCTCCCTGCATCGTTTATCTATTGGTTCCAGAAATCAATAAGACAGGATCCCTGCCTATGACGTTCTCAGTGTAGTGAGTGTCCACACGATATTGAGGCGATATACATGCAGAAGGCACCCAGACGTAAGCCCACCAGTATTCATCCAACACCCGTGGTGTCTAAGGTCTCTTCCTGCCTAGTCCAGCGTTACTGAGGCAGGTGGATTTCACAAGAAAAGGATGAACTTTTCAGAGACTGAGAAATATGAGTCCAGGGTAAGACCCATCCCATCACCAAATACATACATACCATTGTCTCAAGAGCCCTGTTCACTCACTCAAGGTCCAGGCAGCCTTCCATTCCTGCAGCATCCTCCGCAGAGCCACCAGTTCCCAACTCATATCCATCATCATCAACCTTGCCTGCTTCTTCGATCTTCTGGCCTGCACAGATGCATCCTCGTCCACGTGCAGCAGCAGGTCCTTGGCTGGGGTCGGCAATGCGGTCCAGCGCTGGGCTCCTTTCACAGGCCTACAGGCTATGAGATGAGGTAGTGAGACATCTTCTCACTCTCTCAGCCTAGGCCTTGCCACAGAATGCTTCCCATTCCTGTTCCTGCTAATGCCAAAGCAAAACAAAACCCTTGAGAGCAAACTTGTCTGTGGTTATGTAGGGAACTGGGAATAAATGCCCTAAAGAATTCTGAATGGTCCTCCCTACATACATGGGAGGCCTGGATGATGACGAGGAGAGATTTGGGGTAGGAGGATGGAACGAAATGCAGATATATGTAAAAAAATAAAAATCTTTCATAGCATCTAACCCTAGGAAGTTTCCTATTCATCATTCCCCACCACAAGGTTCTTTTAACTCCATTTGTTGAGAAGAGATGATGAACAAAATGGTTATAATAAGGTAGGTATGTAGGGGTCCACACAGTGTCTCAACAGGCTAATCCTCCACCTGTGAGTATTGGCATCTCATGTTGGTGCTGGTTCATGTCCTAGCTGCTCCATTTCTTATCCAGCTCCCTGCTTGTAGCCTGGGCAAGCAGAAGAGAATGGCCCAAAGCCTTGGGAACCTCTATCCGCATGGGAGACTCAGAAAAAGCTCCTGGCTCCCAGCCTCTAATCAGCTCAGCTCTGGTAATTGCAGCCATGGGGGACTGAACCAGAGGGGGGAAGATCTCTGTCCCTGTCTCTCCTCTCTTATTGCCTCTCCAATGAAAGTAAGTTTTTTTTTGTTTCTTTTTAATTTACTATACTTTCCCTAGGTCAATCTCAGGTGCTGGTTTAAAAGTTTGCTGTGAGAATTCCTGAAGCAGCATTTCATTAAGTGACTTGTGCTGGGACTAAAGAGGACAAGAGTTCAGAGTGCTGGTAAAACAAGCATGATGGGTGTGCTAGAGCCTCCAGGAAAACTAGGTTCCTCAGAGAACTTTTTAAAAAATATTTTTACTAAAGTAGAATTCATGCACAATGAAATCCATCTTACCAAACTGTATAGTTTTGAGTGTATCCACAAAGTTCTGAAGCTGTCACCATATCTAATGTCAGAATGTTTCCTTCATCCCTGAAAGAAACCCTGTACACATCCTTCTTTCCCTCCCCTCCTTCCCACTCCCTGGCAGCATTAATCTTTCAGTCTCTGTGGATTTGCCTGTTCTTGGACAGAGGGAAAGCAGAATGGAGGTGGCTTCTGGAGAAGCCAGTATCCCCAAAACAGGGTAGACGTCCTTCCCTTGGGATGCACCTTCATGGTAATCCTTGGTCCTAAACCACTCGGGAACCCCTAAAGTTATATCTAATTTCAACCGAACATATGTTTAACCAAGGGTCTTAACAAGCACGTTACAGTTTTTAGTTGATAGGAAGAGGCTTCCCTAGCTGATGGTGGAGCCACCCTCCCAGTAAGCCAGGGGCATGAAAGAAACACTTCCACTTCCATCGGCACCTGCCCTGGTTAGTTAGCTTCCTGCTGACTTACGTGCTTCAGGAACTGGCTGGCAACTCCACTTCTCCGGAGTTTCAGGGAAGACCTTACATAGCTGTTTATTGTACTGATTCAGGTTCTCCAGAAAAATCTGGTCTCTCTTTGCCCCAATGTGGTGGACGATCTGAACTTCATCTGTGAATAAACAAACAATGAAGCCCCGGCAGTGCCCTCTCCTCTTTCTTCTCTTCCTAGGTTTCTTGCGCCACAGTCACACCCAATTCCCTTTTGTCCCAATCTAAGCCTCAGGCTAAAACTGCCATGTTGTGGGCATTCCTTGGAAGTGATCATTGCTTAGAAATGGTCAGAGCTGGGCTCTTAGAGAAGCCTCAGAGAGCCTGGGAGCTAAGGATGGCTTCTTCCTTCAGGAAAGCAGAACCGAACACATCCTGGCAGTTATGAACTCTTTCATCAGAACAGTTTTGCAGACAACACCCTAGGAAGAAGCAACAGGGTTGGTTGGAACATACAGACCTATACCAGGTATTCAGGAAACTCATAAGGTGGGAGTGGGAGCTGGTGAGAAATGTATTGAGCAACTTCTGTGGGCCAGGCACTGAACAACAGGTGTCATGCTTCATGTCTGCTCTACTTTGAAGACCATGTTAGCATCTTTTACAAAGAAAATATTCAAGGCTTGGAGTCTTTATGTGATGTGCTGAAGGTTGCTAAGAAGAAACTAAGCCAGGATGTAACCCCAAATCTGTGACCTGAAGACATGCACTTCCCTCCGCCCCCAACACAGCTCCTAAGTGGGGAGGGTGGGGGATGACAGTGGGGACATCTCAAAGTAAGTGACTGGAGAAGGGTGGAAAGAGAAGAGGCAGCTTGTTCTCAAAGTAAATCTTGCATCCTCCAACCATGGCTTGCTTAGGAAGGTAAGGGGCAGAGGAAGAGAAGAGGAGACAATTCCCACAATACCAGGCACCATCACTGTCCACAGCCCCTGTGCTAGAAAATAAGGGATGTCGCCAGAAAACCCAAGCCACCCAAGGCCTGTCACCCCTACCCATGACTGTTTCTATCCACTAGCACCCATCCAACCAATCTGCTTCCATCCACCCTAAGGGTCAGGCTCTATTACCAAGCAGAGTCTCTTGTTCAAAGGCGTTGTCTGTAGAATAAGCAAACTTCCCAGCTCGGGGGTTCACCTGTCGGAAGCAGCTCTCCACCTGAGGGCTGGAGATGGTTCTCTTTTCCTTAATGTCCTCAGCTGTCTTATTGTTTTGGGGCATGATTTCATCTGTCTGATCGTGTGGGGAGTAACAGGACAACCTAGATAGAGGTGAGAGAAGGGGAAACACAGGGAGTGGTGGGGAGGAACTCCCCTTTCCAGTTCGAACCCTTTCCTCTTTAGGTTCCACTCAGACACCTGTGAGCATCTGAAGAACATCTGTATTGACCTGCTAGTCTTGCCCATCAGGTGCCAGGTGAATGCACAGCCACCCGAAGGGCTTGTTTTCAGCCACATCCCACCACTGATGGAGCCACGCCTTCAGCAGCCACATGATAGTTCAATAGAGTGGCCATGCTCACTGCATAAGACTGCATTGGTACCCCTAGAGACTGCCTGGGCTTGGAAAAGGGAATCTACCTTAGATTAGCTCACTCTGTTGTGTGTATTTACCCAGGAAACAGGCTGTAAGCCCCTTACAGGTATGTGCCTTAGATTCCCAACAATTCATAGGCTATCTGGAAAATACCAAGAATCCAGTATGTGTTTGTCCAAGAGATGATTAGATAAGTAGACTCCAGGCTATTTTTGTTGTTGTTGTTCATTTTTAGAAGTTAGAATATTATATAGCCCTGTCTTTCTCTTAGCTATAAATAAGCTAAGAAATACATAAATCCTAGAAATATGTAGTCATCCTTTTCTCCCAGGCTGCTGGGGTCCCTGTCTTGCAGCTGGTTGGCTTCTTAGTGATGCTTTGGCTGGTTGTTCAAAAGTGAAGCAGCACCAAAGCTCAGTCCCCTGAGGCCTCTGCTCTCCTCACTTTCACCTCAGATAACACTCCTGGAAGCACCTGAATGGTGGCTAACAGCTGTGTTGGCCAAGGCAGACTCAGCACAATCCCTCCAAGGGAGGCGGTTTTCAGCCATGGGAGATTGGGTCCCTCTTGGAGATGTCTGGCACTGTCTAGGACTTCTTTGATTGTCACAGCTGGGGAGTGCTACAGCTATCTGGTGACTGGAAGCCATGGAGGCTGTTGATGTCCAGGCACAAGGAAGTCCCATGGTGAAAAAAAAAAATGATCTAAGCCAGCCTACCAGTGATGTGAGGCTGAAGAATGTTAGCTTTGGCCAGGATCTCCCAGAGCAGGTAGGTGTTGGAGGCCATGAACTACATGGCACACAGCACTCTGAAATGGGGAGTGGGATCCCCGCTGGGAGTCCTGGGTTCTCAGAGGCACACTGGAGGCCCTGACCACCCTACCTGTAGTAAGCAGGAAGTGGCAGCTCCGGTTTCTTGGTTTCCTTGGGTGACACAATGACATTCTGATCCTCCTCCAACTCAGCTACCTCTTCCTCCTCCAGCTGTTGCAGGAGCTCCAGGTCGCTGGCAGAGCTGAGCTCGTCCCGGATGTGGCTCCAGTCATACTGCTGGCGCAGGAAGCTCTGCCACTTGTTGGGGGATTCCCCAGGCCTCAAGGGCCGCTTGCTCTGGATCCACCGGGCAGTGCGCTTGTTTAGCTTTGCCAGCACCACAGCCTCCCAGGCTCTGGCTACCCTCTCTGGGGGCGGCAGCCAGGTTTCCCGTTCCTTTAGGATCATGTCTGGAGAGGGCGGCGGTTCCAGAGTGTCTGGATCCCTGAGGGGTTGCTGGGTGAGAGGTCGAGGCGTTTCCTGTACTGTGCCCTCTGGCTTCGGTTTCTTGGGCATCTTTTCAGGATGGGCAGAATGTTCTTTCTTTGTACCTGCAACAGCGTCCCCTGCCGGGGGAGCCTGCTGAGGAACAGTTTTCGCGAGTCGGGCTTTTCTGACCTGGGGGGACTGGATAATGTTGTCTGTGTTGTAGAGGTGGTCAAAGTTGTACTGGCTGTAGGGGACGCTGGGCAGCCCCCGCTGCCACACCACCTCCTGGGAGAAGGTGAGGTTCGCAGCAGCTTTTTTCAGATACTGGTTCTTGAGCTGTGTGCAGTGTCGTGGGCCGAGGTGGAAGGCTGCAGGCACCCCAGCAATGGAGGCACCCTCCTTACCTTGTGGTTTCGAGTTGCTGAAGAGCATGCCCCAGCCCAGCCGTTGGGGGAGTGGCTGATGTGAGAGAAGGTTCTTGCTGTTTGGGTTACTGGTCATAGCGTTCCCCAGCAAATGTTTCCTTCTATGCTGCCCGTCCAGCGGCAGGGCCTAGACACGTGGCCAGATACCTTTTGAAACGGACAGGAGGGATTGGTAAGAACTTTCTGCCGACCGGAAGAGGAAGGTGAAGGTATAGATGGAGTAAACGGAAGGTATCTGGCAGAGACGCCCACATCCCACGTTGGCACACCTGGTCTTGATATCTGGCTCCAGCTCCCAATTCCAGTTTCCTGCCAATGCAGACCCTGGGAGGTACTGCTGATAGCTCAAGTCATTGGGTTCCTCCACCTGGCAGTCCTAGGTTGAATTCCTGGCTGCTTCTTTTGGGCCCTTCCCCAGCTCTGCCATAGAAGGCTCTAGCTAGCAAATGGGAATGTTCCACCTCTCTGCTGGTTGAATAAATAACTTGGAAAAAAAATCTAAGAAAGCAAATAAAATAACATGAAAGATAGAAAGGGTAGAATATGAGGGGAGGGGCACAGGACATGCCAATTAGAAGAAAGAAATGGTGCAACCTTGTAAATATTTCTTGGATCACACCCAGGATCCCACTTCCTACACAGTTCCCAAAGCTCAGCTCCTCCCCTACCTTCTCCCCGCCTTTAAGTATTACTGCATTTCAGTACTATCCCACACTTCTATTCCCCTATGCCACACACAAGAAATCTCTGCTTTAAAGGCTTACAGCATGAAGCTCAACAACTCCTTAAGAAGAATTAAAAAATGTGATTAATATGATGCCCCTTTAGGATTTTTGCACATTAAACTAAATATAGTTGTTTCATCTGCTCACAGCTAAGAAGGCAGTGTGGCCACAATGGCACTTGGTGTTTCAATGGCTGGAGTAGAAAAATTAGGGCAAAGGGCAGTCACACAGTGTTACTTATTCTGAAACAGCACCTGCTCTCACTGGTTGAAAATGAACTGTCAGAAGAGAACATGTCAGAGTCAGTGTCATTATTATTATTGCTCTAATGAGACACTGCGCATTCTAAACACATCACTGTGTCAGGGTCTTTCTCCCATGGGGCATTTTGATTTTAAACACTTGAAAAACAGAATGAGGCTGATATCACCACAAAATGACCATTTCTACTGAGCAATTTGTATTGAGTGAAGATCCCCCAAATTCAAGGGATCTTCAAAAACTTCACAGAAAATTCATGTTACGAAAACATACATTTAATGGATTTTGATTTTTTTTTGTACTAAAAGAAGCTTAGTTTTAAAAACTGCTGCACTTTAAGATATTTTCTTTTATTTGGAAAGGTAGATCTACAGAAAGAAGGAGAGACAGAGTTAAAGATCTTCCATCCTCTGGCTCACTCCCCACATAGCTACAATGGCTGGGGACTGAGCTGATCCAAAACCAGGAGCCAGGTCCTGTGTGATGGCATAGCAACTAAAGTCCTCGTCTTTCATGTGCTCGGATCCCATATGGGCACAAGTTCATATCCCAGCTGCCCCACTTACTACCCAGCTCCCTGCTTGTGGCCTCAGAAAGCCATTCAGGATGGCCCAAGGCCTTAGGACCACTTTTGTAGGAAAACATTTTCAAACAAGGGGGTGGGGAATTGGAAAGGTGGAGAGCAGAACTAAATTTAGAATTTTTACAATACAACTCATCTTGAATTGGCTTTTTTTTTTTTTAAAAAAAAGGCTATTTATTTTATTTGGAAAATTAAAATTAGAGAGAGATAGATTTTTCATTCACTGGCTCACTCCCCAAATGGCTGCAACAGTCAGAGCTGGAATGGTCCAAAGCTGGGAGCCAGGAGCTTCTTCCAGGTCTCCCACATTGGCGCAGGGGTCCAAGTGTTTGGGTCAGCCTCCACTACCTTCTCGGGTCATGAGCAGAGAGCTGGATAGGGAAGTGGAGCAGTTAGAACATGAACCAGCACCTATATAGGATGCCAGTCTAAGAAGGGTCAGTCCTGGTTAGCACTAGGATGGGAGACTGTAGGTCACCTCTTTATTTAGTGGTTACCAGTGAATCCCTGTCAGATAACAGCCAAGTAGTCTTGCTCAAAATTACCTTCAAAATCCTTAGAGGGGAGGAACCCAGTCCTTACAGGGAAGCAAGCTTCTGCCTTGTTCACAGTCCTTGGTTTCTTGGGTTCCACAGCTGTTTATGTTGGTCACTAAGCAACCAGTTCTTTCAAATTCCATGAATCTGCTCAGAGAACCTTTGGGCTCATCTGGGAGTATCTGCAACACTATGAAATTTCCTTAAAAAAAAAAATGTAAACAGAGGGTCTGGCCTTTTGGAGTAGTGGGTTAAGCTGCCGCTTGTAACGTTTCTGGGGTGCCAGTTCCAGTTCCAGCTGCTCTTCCTTGGATCCTGCTAGTGCACCTGGGAAAGCAGCAGAGGATGACCCAAAGTGCCCCTGGAACCTCTGAGGAAGATCTGGATGGAGGCAAGGCTCCTGGCTTCAGCCTGGCCCAGCCCCATCCATGCCAGCCGTTTGGAGAATTAATCAGTGGATGGAGGATATCCCTTTTTCTCTCTCTCTCCCTCTCTAACTCTTTCAAATAAGTGAAATCTTAAAAAAAAAAAAAGTGAGAGCCAAGAATGGTTCAAGCCGAGCCTTTCCTTGTATTTATTCCCTCCTCAGTATGAACAGCCAAGGTTTATTCAGTTCATCTTCATAGGGAGGTTTGGCCTAAGCTCAGGCAGCCTCGTTGTTTTGGCATCTGATGAGGGCAGCAGATGACAGTGCATCATGGGGGAAATTCATGCAAGAGAAAACCACATGACATGTCTTCAACTGGAGCAAGGAGACAGAACCATTGGGATTCCCTAATCCCCATCAAGCCTACACTTCCGACCTAAATACTGCCCTCCAGGTCCTGCCTCATCCAGAGACACAGCACCTCTCAAACCTCCTGAGACCAAAGCCTTTACATACAGACAGCTGGGGACATGCCATATGCAGACCACAGAATGGGTCATCAATTCTTTTTTTTTTTTAAGATTTATTTATTTTTATTAGAAAGGCAGATAAACAGAGAGGAGGAGAGGCAGAAACGAAGATCTTTCATTTGATGATTCACTCTCCAAGTGACTGCAACGGCCGGTGCTGCACCGATCCGAAGCCAGGATCCAGAACTTCCTCCAGGTCTCCCACACGGGTGCAGGGACCCAAAGGTTTGGGCCATCCTCTACTGCCTTCCCAGGCTACAAGCAGGGAGCTGGATGGGAAGTGGAGCTGCTGGGATTAGAACTGGTGACCATATAGGATCCCGGCACATTCAAGGCGAGGACTTTAGCTGCTAGACCACTGTGCCGGGCCCAAGGATTTTTTTTTTTTTAAAGAGAGAAAAAAATTACTTTCAGAGAAGTTCTGTGGGCTCTGTGCCAGGGATAGCCAAAACAGACCCCCATTGAACTCCTAGGGAGTCTTGCATGAGAAAGTCCCACATGGAAAACAACACTGAGGAAGGTCACTCTGTTGCATGAAGAAGTCAAAACTTGCAATTTTCCAGTTTCTGGGAGACTAATTATTTTTGCAAAATTATAAGGTGACTTGTAAGACTGCCAGGACATAGGGAGAGGGTTCCCTAAATTACCTTTTGTGAAAAATGACCTTTGAGGAATTACATCATTTTTTAAAAGATGTTTTAAACATTTTAATATATTCTTATTTGAAAAACAGATTTCCAGAGAGAAGATTAAAAAAATCTTCCATCTTATGATTTACTAATCAAACATCCACAATGGCTGGAGCTGAGCCAATCTGAAGCAAGAAGCCAGGCGCTTCCTCCAGATCTCCCTTGTGGGTGCAGAGCACCCAAGGACTTCAGACATCCTCCACTGCTTTACCATTAAGGGAGCTGGATTGGAAATGGAGCATCCGGGACATGAACCAGCACCCATAAGGGATGCTGGTGCAAAAGGTGGAGGATTAACCTGCTACACCCTATGCCAGTCCCAGATTTATTTATTTTGATAGGCAGAGTGACACAGAGAAAGAGAGAGTGTTTCCATACTCTTGTTCACTCCCTAAATACTTGCAACAGCTGGGGCTGGGCCAGGCAGAAACCGGGAGCCAGGAACTCCATCCAGGTCTGCCACATGAGTGGTGTGAACCTGTCTACTTGAGGCATCACCTGATATCTCCCAGACGTTTCAGAAAACAGCTGCACCAGAAGCACAAAGCAGCCAAATTCAAACCTCCAATTTAAGATATGGGTTCCCCAAGCAGCAGCTTAATGTGATGGGCCACAATGCCAACCCCTGCATCACATTTATTGATCAGCTCCTTTGTAAATTTCTTAGGTCACTGTTTGAAAAATAAGCCTTTAGATCTACGCAGCTCACTTGGTATCCCACCCACTCAGGGGTACATGAAGTCCTGCTGGGAAAGAGACAAAGCAGGGGACACAGGACTATGGGGCACTGGCACTCTGAGCAGGCAGACAGAACAAGAAAAGGCTGTGTGGTGTGGTGTGGTGGTCGAGAGGCCCCTCGAGATGCTTGCATAGCACACAGAAGGCGTGGGTTCTAACCCCAGCTCTTGCTTCTGACTCCAGCTCCCTGCTAAGACGCACTCTGAAGAAGCTGGGTCCCTGCCACCCATGTGAGAGACCTGGGTTGAGTTCCTGGCATTTACCTTTCGCTTGGCCCGGCATCAGGGAAGTAAACCAGCTGTTGGAAGCTCTTTGTCTCTCTACTTACCAACTAAATTAAAACAACAGAACAAGCTCTTTTGGGCTTTTTCTGTTTCATCTCCAATGCTGTTGAATCGCCATCATCCACACAACTCAATTCTATCTTCCCTCAATCCCCAAGTCTTCGCCAGACTTTTAGCTAACAACTACTTTTGAACAAGGAAATACTCTAAGTCTTGTATTTTAAATAGCACAACTTCAGGCCTACAGAAATACTGGTTTTCAGGAGGCTGCTTACCAAAAGAAAGTGATTGTGACAACAGGGCAGATTTCTGAGCCCTAGACTGTCTGCTTGACTCAGTCAGGCTATGCAGCCAGCCAGGCCAGGCAACGGTGGCACTGCTGAACTAGCTGAGTCCTGACATCAACGCCCAGGCTAACACTGTGCTCTGACCCTTGGCCTCCCTCCCCCCCACAAGGGTGAAAGCTCCAATCTCTCTAGGATGAACAAAGAACAAAAGACTACTACAAACATTGAGTATCAAAACCCTGTTGAAGTTTCCTGAAAAAACAAAAACCAGAATAATTATGCGTTAGGGTGTACCTATTAAGCTACCGTCTGTGATACCTTCACCCTCTTTGGGCACAGGGTCGTGCCCTGGAAGGGGTGGGGGTAAAACATTTGTGTGGGAATGTTTTTGAGGATGGCCTGTCAGGAGCAGACACTAGCCTGGGTTTCTCTGGCTTCATTCTTACACATCTGCATGTTTGCCTAACAACACGGATATAAAATTGAGAGTATGTAAGATCAGACACAGGACTTGGAAAGGGCCTGAAACTTCCCCAAAAGTCCCTTCTCTAGTTGGAACTGATGGCTTATTTAAAAACGAAACAAAATAAAAACACAGTGAGCCGTTTGGGACAAGACAGAAATAAAAGTTTAAACCTTGGGAAATTGTTTCCCGAGCTAAAATACAGGTTTCAGGGCTGGAGATTTTAAGAAAGTTGACGGGACTATTTCCCACTCTGGCTGATTGACAGGGCTCCCGGTAGCAATGAATGGCTGCAGCAGTTGCAGGAGCCCCAACCCGAGCGCAGCCTGCAGGAGGCCAGTTCGCCGCTAGAGGATCTGCGAGCATTTTTTAACTCCACGCACCAGCTCGGTTTCCAGTCAGTTCCTTATTCCACATTTCCGTTCAGTTCTGAGGTCTCAAGTCAGGTCCTAAAATGGTGGTGGCCTCGTCTCTTGCCGTCCTGAGAGCCTCCAGACTGTGCCAACTGGGCCTGAAGAGTTGCGCCCGGTTTCTGGGGCCTCCACAGCTGAGCCCTGGTAGCCCGGCCGCTTGGATCCCTGTTCGGATGGCGGCGACGGTGAGCGTGGAGCCCGCGGGCCCCTCTTGCTGGGACGAGCCGCTGCGCATCGCCGTTCGCGGCCTGGCCCCCGAGCAGCCGGTCACGCTGCGCTCGGCCCTGAGCGACGAGAAGAGCGCGCTTTTCCGCGCCCACGCGCGCTACTGCGCCGATGCCCGCGGCGAGCTGGACCTGGAGCGCGCGCCCGCGCTGGGCGGCAGCTTCGCGGGGCTCGAGCCCATGGGGCTGCTCTGGTCCATGGAGCCCGAGAAGCGCTTTTGGCGGCTGATCAAGCGGGACGTGCAGACGCCGTTCGTAGTGGAGCTGGAGGTGCTGGACGGCCACGACCCCGAGCCGGAGCGGGTGTTGACCCGCGCGGTGCTGGAGCGCCACTTCCTGCCGCCGGGGGTGCGGCGTGAGGCGGTGCGCGCGGGCCGGGTGCGGGCCACGCTCTTCCTGCCGCCAGGTGAGCCCGCTGCCCTACCCGTCTGCGGGTCCCTGGTCCTCATAAGTTAAGAGGTTGCTCCAGACATTACAGAGGTCTGTGTCACGGAGCCCTGAATGGAAGTCTGGCGGGGTAGTGGACCTGCCTGGGCAGGGCTGACAGGTTCTCAAATCCAGGGCTCAGTTCAAGGACATTTTAAGGAGGGCGGGAGGAGTCGCTTGTAATTTACAAAACAAAACTCAAAACCCACGCATAGGTAGTTTGTGTATCTTTTTAAAGAAGTTTTTTAACTTTGCAGTTTTACTTTCAATTTGCACAATATCTTAAAGTTTACATAAGTTAACATTTACAGCAGGAGGAAGGCCCGTTTCTGTCAACTGGAAACCTCGGACAATTGGGTACTTTTCACGTTTCAAAAAGAGCAGGCAGCTAGTGAAGACCTGAGACAGTGCGGTAATAGAAATGATGACCACATCGAGGTGTTTTTCCAGCAGTCGAAGTGACCAGAGGTCTGATACCAGAATCCTCCCAAACACTGCCGAGTATGACAGTCTCCTTCCAGCTTAAAAGGGAGGCCATATCGCAGTTTATCAAAAATTAAAAAAAAAATGGGTGAGATAGATGGAATGTTGCTTCAGGTACACCCCCAAGTGGTAAGAAAGGAAAGCAGGAGGCTGGAGAGGGAGGGCTGGAAGGCACAGCTCAGAGGGGCCTCCCCAGAGTCAGTTCCCTAGCTGTAAGGGGAAAGAAGGTAGATGTGAATGGTGCGGGTGTCTAGTACCTGGAAGCACGCACCAGGCACGGGGGGCCTGTGAGTCAGTCCGCATGGGCTCCACAGCATTCCCGAGGCACACGTGCCCTAATCTGTGTATCAGCCACTTCTCAGTAGTGCTCCCCTGTATGTAAATCCACCTGCAGGTTCATTCACCGCTCAAAGGACATTTGTTTCCTTGTCTCTCTGAAGATCATCACTGAAGTGGCCGCAGACACTTGTGGCGCAAGTTCTGTGTGAACCTAAGTTTTCATTTCTCTGGGCTGTCTAGGAGGGCAATGCCTGGGTTAAGTGGTTGAGGGTAAGAACCTGCTGCTTGTGCTGTAAAGTGACGATGCCATTTAGCCTGACTGGCTCCATTTGCTCTACATCCTTCCCAGCAGTGGGCATGGTCTGTTTTGGAGTTGGACAGAAAGGAAGGTTGTTTATTTACAAATTATTTTTATATTTAAAAGTTTCATTTTATAAGAAAAGCAGAGAGAGAGGAGAGATGTTCAATATGTTGGTTCAGTCCCCAAATGCTCACAGCAGCTTGGGGCTGGGCCACATCAAAGCCTGGGGTCCATAACTCAATCCAGGTCTCCCTTGTGGGTGTCAGGGATCCTAGCAGGTGGGCCATCTTCTCCCAGGGTGCTCATTAGCAGGAAGCTGGATTGGAAGTGGAGGAACTTGGACACTGACATGAGATGTGGGAGTCCCAGATAGTATCTAGCTTTTATGTAAAACACATGCTGTTGTTAAATTATTTTATGTCTTAAAAGTAATAGATGTTGGGCCCGGTGCAGTGGCGCAAGTGGTTAAAGTCCTCGCCTTGCACGCCCAGGATCCCATATGGGCGCCGGTTCTAATCCCGGCAGCCCCGCTTCCCTTCCAGCTCCCTGCCCGTGGCCCGGGAAGGCAGTCGAGGACAGCCCAAAGCTTTGGGACCCTGCACCCGCGTGGGAGACCCCCGGAAGAGGCTCCTGGCTTCGGATTGGCATAGTATCGGCCCGTTGCGCTCACTTGGGGAGTGAATCATCGGATGGAAGATCTTCCTCTCTGTCTCTCCTCTCTGTATATCCGCCTTTCCAATAAAAAAATATTAAAAATAAATCTTTGAAAAAAAAAAAGTAATAGATGTAGGATCAGTGTTGCGGTGTGGCACGTAAAGCCATCACCTGTGATGCCATCAAATAATAATAATAATAATAATAATAATAATAATAATAATAATAGATATAAACACCGTGGGGGCTTAGAGAATGTGGATTTGGCTTGGGCCACTCTTAATTTGCTTGAAGACCACAGACTTGTCAGTGTTTTTAATTGGTCATAGAAAAATTTCAATTGGCCATAGAAAGCAGGCAGCAAATGGCTTTGCACACCAGTGCTGAGGGCCTCAGGACTCATTGTGTGTTTTGTGTCTTCCCAAGGCCCCGGGCCCTTTCCTGGCATTGTGGACATTTTTGGCGTTGGAGGTGGCCTTCTGGAGTACCGGGCTAGCCTGCTGGCTGGGAAGGGCTTCGCTGTGCTGGCTCTGGCGTATTACAACTACGAGGACCTCCCCAAGGGCCTGGAGACCCTCCACCTGGAGTACTTTGAAGAAGCTGTGAACTACCTGCTCAGTCACCCTGAGGTTAGAGCTTCTCTCTGTTTTCGGGGCCGTCCTTTGTGTGGTCTCATGAGTGTTCTTAGTTCTCATAGAATTCAGGTCATTTGTGACAACCACTCCCTTCTCCAAACACACCACCGTTTATAGTCGAAGCTCATATACTGTTTTGATAATGATATCTATTACTGTAAGGTACAAATTTAAAAAAATAGTACATAAAAAGAATTTAAAAATAAGCTTGTTTTAGTACCCAAAATTTTGAAACCATAAGTTTCATGAATTTGCATTTCCTTGAGCTTGTTGGCTTTCTGGTGTTTCTTGTTAGTAAAGATGTTCTTAGCTGATACTGTGAAATTTTAAATCTGGATTGTTCACAGTATTCCATTATTATCACACTGAGAATCCTGGGTTGGATTGGAAGTAAAGGGTAAAAGGAAATTACTGTTCCCAGAAGGTGCCAGTTTGTTTCTAATAAATCCCTCTCCCTTCTACCCCTGTTGGGGCCCAGAATTATTTGAAAGGAAGAAGCTGGGAGCTACAACTTGTATACTAAAAATATTCTGAAGTTTCTAGAGTCAGTGTGTATCAGAGAGAAAGACGATCACACTTGCTTATTTCACAGGTCAGAGTTCAAGGTAGATAGGAACTTTGGAGCTTTTAAAAAAGGTGATAAGATATAATGGAGCAAGGCTAATGTATATATATGAGGGAGTCTTCCAGAAAGTACATCGAGAATTCATATCATGAAAAAATTATGTATGAATTTAAAATGTTCTATATCCAGTGCTCGCTTTGGCAGCACATATACTAATATTTTCTGTGTCCAAAGTAAACTTATCTTTTAATTTCATTTTCCACAAGTTTTCCAAATCCCTTCATAGGAAAAAGTTAAATTCAGCGTTTTATTTTGCCAGGTTTTTTTTAGAATGTTGATCATGTCACCGAGTGTGTGTGTGTGTGTTTGTGTATCTTTGTCCACTGATTCATTCATTCCACAAGTGGCTGCAACGGCCAGAGCTGAGCCTGTCCAAAGCCAGAAGCCAGGAGCTTCTTCTGGGTCTCCTACACGTGGGTGCAGGGTTTCCAGGCCTTGGGCCAACCTCTACTGCTTTCCCAGTCCAAAAGCAGGGAGCTGCATGGGAAGTGAGGTAGCTGGGACATGAACTGGTGCCTATATGGGATCCCGGTGCATGCAAGGCAAGGACTTTAGCCACTAGGATACCATGCCAGACCCAAATTTTGCCAATTTTTCAACTCTGTCTTTAGCACTTCTCCTTCCTTCTTTATATCAGTATGATTAAAAATATCAATTCCTGGGGGCTGGTGTTGTGGCGTAGCCCGTTAAGTCTCTACATGGAACACTGGCAACCCATATGGGCACTGGTTCGATTCTCACCTGCTCCACTTCCAACCCAGTGCCCTGCTAATGTGTCTGGGAAAGCAGGGGAAGATGACCCAAGTGCTTGTGTCGCTTCTACCCACATGGTAGACCCCGGGGATGCTCCTGGCTCCTGTTTTCTGTCTGTCCTAGGCCTAGCTATTGATGGCTATTGAACCAGAAGTTAGGAGATCTCTGCCTTTCAAGTAAATAAAAAAAGGGGGGATTTAAAAAATAAAATAAGAATAAAAAGTTCACACTTCACTGTAAGAAATTAATTCCTTATACGTCAATGAAGAATGTATCATTAAAACCAAGTGATGAGTGCTGTTGCAGAAGGCACAAGAAAAAGAAGGCTGTCAAGAAGTTAAATGGTTATTTGTTTATAACAAAGAGAACTTTGGGAACCAAGGCAGAGTAGTGCTGTGTGGAAGTACAAATCTAAGCTCCCCGGCAGGGGATTCAGTGGGGAAGATGAGATAAGAAATACAGCAAATATTGACAAATTTTCCTATAAATATTGCTGTGAAAGGAAGTGGAAGATTGGGGCAGTAACTAGGGTGGCTGGAGCCAAGGGACTATCTGTAACATGGGAGAAACCAGGGGGTTCTTAAAAAAATTTGTAGAAGATGCATAAACTGTAAAACTGCAAGTGAATTTCAAAACTCTTTTGTACCAAAATAGACATGTATTAACCTAACCTATTATCGCATGTCTCCCCAGGATCTAGTTTGAGGCACTCGGAAGTCTTGGATGTTACTTTGAAAAGAGCCCCTGTGAGAGCACCATGAGTTCTACAATTGAAGCAGGAACAGACATCAAATTTATAGGGAGTCTTAGATGGAAGGATGGTGACTTCATTGATGAGTTCCTATAAGTTGGTGGGGACAACGACTCAAAGAAATGAACAGTTTCTAAAAGGAATCTTTGAAGAGGGCTAAGAGAATGTTTCTTACAATGGTAGGAAAAAGTTAATCTTGTTCATTTCCAAATTAAAGAGGATAAATTCATCATAGAAACAGTAGCCAACACCAGACATTGCAGTGATGACTGAAAAATTAAAGTGGAGGCAACTGTCAGCTCTATGTGTACCACAACTGTTGTGTTCAGATCAGACGCAGACAGCAGCAGAGCTTGCTGTCTTTAAAGTCTGATTTATTTATTTGAAAGGCAGAGCTATGGAGTGACAGATGTACGTGCAGAGGCCTAAGTACTTGAGCCATCTTCCTCTGCCTCCTTGGGTACATCGGCAGGGAATTGGATTGGACACGGAGCAGCCAGGACTCAAACCAGTACTTTTATGTGATGTGGGTGTCATAGGCAATGGCTTAACTCACTGTGCCACAATTCTGGCCTCAAGAGCAGAGCTTTTAGTGAAAGAGTGAAACATACACGATATCTGGATCCTAGAGCATTTCTTGCAAGAATTGACACAGGAGATAAGACATAGCTTTCCCCATACAGTTTTTAAGATGAAGCAAAATCAAAACAAAGTCTATCCAAGAGGGGGAAGTGGTCCATTCGAGGTAAAAAGTGGACAAGTCAAGAGCCAAGGTAGGTCATGGTGCCAGTGCTCTAGGACCTGAAGGGACAGGTAGCAATGACCTCTGGCTACCAGGAGAGTATTGTAATGACGTAAGCCCAGTCATTAGCAGGAAGATGTCCGGGAAAGCTTCACTGGAGAGTTCTCCTCCAAGACAGCACTCCTCAAACAAGGGTGGCTTTGTGGCCCTTCTGAAGGGGATCATTAGACATCCACCTTAAATCTTGATTGGCTCCCTCTGATTGCTGATCTTAAAAAAAACCCCTCAATCTCACTGGCTTTTTTTTAATTTAATCAATATAAAAGAGATTGAATTTGTGAAGTTCTACTCCTAGGACTCTCAGTTCTTTAGGGACGGACTCTCTGGCAGGCATCATTTACAATAATACCTTGAACTTGATGAATTTTATGTTGAGATATAAGATGGTGATCAGGGAGTAGAATGCTCGATGACTTTGGAGCTGATGTACTTATTGATGAGATGGGAGTGCGTGGAGATCAAGGAGCTGAGAAGCTGGAGTATTGGAAAGATCTTCCATGGGGTTGTTGAAGTCAAGAACACTGATAGATGGGCTGGCATGGCGGCACAGTTTGTTAATCTGTTTGTAACACTAACATACCATATCAGAGTGCTAGGTTCAAGTCCCTGCTGCTCTGCTTCGGATCTAGCTCCCTAATGATATACCTCAGAAAGCAGCAGAGGAACCTGTGCTGCTATTACCCACATGGGAGACCTGCATGGAGTTCCTGGCTGCTGGTCTGACCTGTCGCTATAATGAATAAAAGGATGGTGATGGAGAAATAGTGGAAAGGAAGACAAGAAGGAAGATTAAGAAAAATTTTCAAGGTTGCAGCTCTGCATAAATGAAAGAATCCAGATTCAAGCTAACTGTATTACATGGACTCATACTTACTTCTTTTTCCTCTGTTCCCTTCTCAGGTGAAAGGCCCAGGAATTGGACTCCTGGGAATTTCCAAAGGGGGTGAGCTCTGTCTCACCATGGCCTCCTTCCTGAAGGGCATCACGGCCGCCGTCATAATCAATGGATCCGTGGTCATTATTGGGGGAACTTCACACTACAAGGATGTGACCCTGCCCCCCATAGGTCCCAACAAGAGTCGAATCAAGATGACCAAAGATGGCTTAGTGGACATTGTGGATGCCCTAGACAGCCCTTTGGAAGAGCCTGGCCTGAAGAGCTTGATCCCTGTGGAAAAGGCTGAGTGCTCCCTCCTGTTCCTGGTGAGTGAGGATGACCACAACTGGAAGAGCGAGTTCTATGCCAATGAGGCCTCCAAGCGCTTACAGGCCCATGGGAAGGAGAAGCCCCAGATCATCTGTTACCCTGGGGCAGGACACTATCTGGAGCCCCCCTACTTCCCCTTGTGCCGGGCTTCCCACCACGTATTGGTGGGTGGGCCTGTCTTCTGGGGAGGGGAGCCCAGGGCTCATGCTGTGGCCCAGGTGGATGCTTGGGAGCAACTGCAGGCTTTCTTCCACAAACACTTGGGTGGTAAGAATTAGCAAGACTCCCTGGAAAAATAATCCATCCAGTTTGAAGACTGTGAGGGTAAAATATATTCTGATGACATCAGTCTGGTTTGTTCATATTAGTTTGAATCTATTACTATAACAGGTTTTCATTCATTTTTGTTTCCATAATATTACTACCAAAAAGTTTCTATCTAATAGGGATATTTTGAATGAAAAGAGTCATAAGCATAAGGGCTGGGGTTGTTGTGTAGCAAGTGGGGCTACCACCTGGGATGCTAGCATCACATATGGGTACTGATTTGTGTCCTAGCCTAGGAATAGTGTCAGAATATGCCCACATGTTTGACCCCCTGCAACCTATATGGGAGACCTGGAAGAAGTTCTTAGCTCCTGGCTCCTGGCTTCAGCCTTGCCCAGCCCTGGTTGTTGCAGCCAGCTGTGGAGTGAACCAGCAGGTGGAATATCTCTGTCTCTTTCTGTAACTCTAACTTTCAAAAAAAAATAAATAAATCTCTTTTTAAAAAAACTCACATGTGTAAACACTTTTTTGTTTTTTATTGGAGTGAGTCTGACCTGTAGTACATTGGGTTAAGCACTTAACGACAGTTGGGGGAGAAATAATATTTCTAAAACACCCATTTTATGAGGCAAATAAAAGTATAAGAAACTCGTGGGCCCGGCCTTGTGGGATAGATAAAGCCACCATCTGTGACTCCACTGAAGGTCCAGCTCTTTACTAATACACCTGGGAGAACAGTGGGCGATGGTCCAGGTGCTTGGGCCCTTGCATCCATGTGGGTGACTCAGAGGGTCTGGGTTCCTGACAACGGTCTGGCCCAACCCTAGCTGTTGTGGCCATTTGAGAAGTGAACCAGTAGATGGAGGATCTCTCTCTGCCTCTCCTTCTCTGTCTCTAACTCTGCCCTTCAAATAAATGAAATAAATTTTCAAAAAGAAAGAAAGAATGAAGAAGGTTCTTGCCCACAACATTTTAAGGCAAAAGTCATCTGCCATGGTCGTGATGCCTTTGAGCATTGTAGGATAAGATAGATTTCTTGTCCTCTTACCTTACTAGGTTCATGACTGAGACCACTATAACCAAAGACAGATGAACCTGAATAAGCATAGAAATGTATCAAATCTTCAGTTTGACCTGACCTGAGAGTCTTCAGAAATAAAGAGGGACTCCTGTGTGCTTTTATAATGCTAGGCTGGTGAGAAAGTATTCATAAAGTGTGCAGAAAAGCTTTTCTTTGGGAGAATAAATAATGGACAACTTAGCTTCAAATGACATCATGTGCCTATGCAGGCTGTAAAATAAGTATACAGCTAAAATTCTGTAAAAATTTTATTCTAGGACATAATCATCACTAAGGAAAAAAATCATTGAAAGTCAACCAACTTGTTCATGCTCTCTCCTTATATACATTCAAAATTGATTTTGTTTATCAGCTGAGGTTAATCTGAGTTGCTTGTTGAACCCAAAAGATAGCAGAAAAGTTTATTCTTTTTTTCCCCATGCTGTCTCAACCACTCAATTTCCAACAAATGTTTATTGAGAGCTACTAAGTGGCTCTGGCAGAGTTCTCAGCTCTCGGCAAACATAAAGAAAGATAACAAGACTTTTTAGCATCAAGGATTATGTGCTGTTCTTGGGAAGACATGAAGTATGAATTCTATGAAGAATAAAAAGCAGAGTAAGACTAGAGAGTGACGAGGGAGAGAGTTCATATTTTGAAGAGTATGACCAGGGAAGATGTATTTGAATAAATAAACAGTGTTTGAACAGAGAACTGATCAAAGATGAGGGTGTGAGCCACACTCCAGGCTAAAGGCACAGTGAAAGCACAGAGCTACAGGGGCAATTTTTGCTTGGTCTGAAGCCAGGTAAGTGAGGGGAGGAGGGATAAAATGAACTAAGAGAGGTACTCAGGGGAAATCAGGTGTTAGAGCAAACCACTAAGGAGTTGAAAATAGGGAATTGATCTAAGTTAAACTCAAAATCCTCATTCTGGCTACTATACAGTGAATCAACTTAGGGAGTTCAGCAGGATTTGTCTCCCCAAAACTCATGTGGATGGTTGGATTCTGCAATCTTAATATTAATGGTTGATGGATTAAGGGAGGAGACGGGAACTAATTGTGGTGGCTAGGAGGTAGGACCAGTGGGAGACCTTTGGATCACTGGGCACGTGCCTTGGGAGGGCAGTTCTAATGAGGGAGTTGGTTATTTTGAGTTTGAATTCAGCCTTGGTTCTCTGTTTTCTGGCTCACCATGTAACTGCCTCCGTGTCCTGCATGACCAGCTCCATGGATGCTGGAATAGGGGGTGCTGCATCCTGCACCAGAATGTAAAGCTTTCTTTTCCAAAAAGTTCCTCTCAGGCATTAATGCAGCAAAATGCATTCTAATGTACAATTGTAGGCAGTGTTAACATGGATCCAGCGAGGCCAATAGGTAGACTGTTTTATTCATCCCACTGAATGTAGATCATCTGGGTGCCTTGCTTCTGCCAGACACCTGGGGGCCCGCACCAGGGTCTGGTGGAGCAGAGGGGGCCTGGGAACTCGTGCCCGTGTTTGGGTCCAAGGCTGAGGAGGGTGAGGAATGCTAGGGCCCCAGGCTGACACGCTGGCATGCTGCGTAGGCAGATCAGGTTTGAGGATGTGTTAACATGCTTGAATCCCGGCTGGACAGAGGGTGCCAGGTTGGCACATGTGCTGGAGGCCTGGCTTTAGGGTCCGGGGTGAGTGGGCAGTACTTTAGTCCAGCATGCCACTCTGCCAGAAGACTGGGCTGGAGGGAACTCATGTGCTCATTGGTGAGGGACACAGCAAGTCACATAGGAGATCTTTATTCCAGCTCAGAAAAATGGCTATAACCTGTGCAGGAAGGGGGTGTGGAAGAAAGAGAGAGGCAGCATGGGAAAGGAGAAAGGGTCTGATGAACTGCTCCCTGGTGGGAGGCAGCCCAGGACCACTTCCACATGGCAGAGTAACCATGTGAAGGAAATGGCCACCCAGGGTGTGCAGCACTGGTATGGGGGATGGAGGAGGTGGCAGCTCCTCAGTTTGTGCATGCCTGTAACATGTCATCATGGTGGGTGTTGATCCTCTGTGCAGACTGAGCATTTGAAACATTTCTGGATGGGAGTATCTGCTTGACTTCAGCAAAGATGGCATTGATGCTAGTGAAGCTTTTTTCTGTTGTTTGTGGCCAGAGGGAGGCAGGAAGGAGAGATAGCGCCAGGACTTGGTCTGCTGCTTGGTGTTCCAAGGTTACCAGGTGTTCCTGGCTTGTGATAAACTCTCTTGTCCTCTGATACACTCAGCTCCTTCAGGAGTCACTCCTGCTCTGCCAAACAGGGACCACTCAGAGTACATTACAGGTGAGGAATGACTTCAGGGGGACTTTTGCTGACAAGGTACTGGCAGCTAAGTAAGGGGGCTGAGGCTGAGAAATTTGAAAGAGAGAAATTAGAAACTTACGGTTTGGACCAATTTGCCTGCCCATGTGGGAGACCTGAGCTGGGCTATTCAGCATCAGTCAGATCACAGTATCCATGAGTGAGTGTCAGAACAAGGGATGAGTAACGTTAGGCTGGGCCATGACACCAACCAGTATGTGAGAGAACGTCTCCTGTGGGGAGGACATTCAGAATTTAAAGCTTGGTAGGGAATGATTCTACTGTGTACTGGCTGATCTTCCAGAGAGACTAGGGCAGGCACAATCCAGCACAGAGCCTCTGAGTTCTTTTCTCCCATGAGTCATTGAAGGGCAAATTCATTTTATCTTTCATAACCAGCCACGTGCTCACTTGGTAGTCAGTAGAGGCGAAGAGGAAGGCTATCAGAGACCAATTAATGGAAACAAAATTGAGAAGAGTCCTGACTATCCAATAGGAAACCCAGTATCATATGCGATCAGGCTCCTGGAAAGTCCGTATTGTATTGACTGTTACGATTATAGGACCAAGGCAGAAGGACAAGCTGACCACATTGATTTGAGGAAGAAAGAATAGACATTCTTCTTGAATGTGACATTACAAGAGTCAGACGCTATTTCTGTGGTTGAGGAGATTATGAAGAAACATGTGACCCTATTTGTGGCATGTTGGAGAACAGCTGTGATCAAGAATTACAATGGAATGAAATAAAAAATGACAAAGACGCAGTGTGCCCAGATGATCTGTTTTTCAAAATACACTGAAATCAGCATTTCTGTTTTCCCAGATATTTACAACTTGTTTTTTTTTTTAGAGGAAGAGTTATTGCTGTGAAAAAATTGATGCTAGCAGTGAATAGAGAGTTGGCAGATATAATATTTTTTCAGTCAGTACTTCCTTCTGTCTAAACAACAACTGCTTGGCCTAACTATCTGGCCATGCTTATTGGGATTGAATAAAATCCCAGAAGCCCTTCATGTGGCACCTTCAAGAGTTAATCTCTCAGACATTTTGGTCTCAGTCACAACTAGGGCAAAGGTCTTGGCAACTAATCAACTAGGTAAGTTCAATGGCTCAAAGTCCTGGGAACTGAGCCAAAACAGAACTTGCTAGGATAGTGACAAAGTTCTTTTTGTGCCCAATCAATACCTGTTTTCAAAATCCTGTCTCCCAGTTAAACTAATCTCCCTGGATGTGGGGCGTCTTCCCTTATAAACTAAGGGAGCAATGTGAGCCCAAAGCACTTTCTCTCAAGGTCCATTACAATACCAGATGCTTCTACTCTGGACAAAAAAAAAAAAAAAATCAGAATTTCAGGGGATTTTAGACACAAGCTGATACGTAAAGCAAAGTCCTGGAAACCTTTTTTACTTGAGAAAGACTGTTTTTAAGGTTTTGAAGAAAGAAGGATGTGAGGAGGACAGATTTTACTAACTCCACCAGTTGAACAAAAAGACTAAAGATCCTCTATGGTAAACTTCTTGCAGATTGTTGTGCTTTTTGCTTTTCTTCAAATTTTTTATGTTGAAATCATTTTACACTTAAACAAGTGATGCAAAAATAATAGAATTCTCTAAGTCTCCCATCTACCTTCCCCTAAGGTTAATATCTTAAATACCATGGTACAAATATCAAAACTAGGAAATTGGGGTGGGTGTAATGCCAAAGCTGGGAAATAGTGGTGATCACTCAAGTGACTGGATTCCTGCCATTCTCATGGGAGATGCGGACTGAGTCCCCAGCTCCTAGATTTAGCCCTATGGTTCAGTTCTGGCCACTGTTGGCATTTGGGGAGTGAACCAGCAGAAGGAAGCTCGCTGTGTCTCTTTTTATTGTATTACTGATACACTAATACTAACCATGAAACTAGCATTGAAATAGCTTTCTTGAGAACTTGTTTAGGTGGCTAGCAACTATGAAAACACATGGTGTTCTCTTGCTCTACTTAAGCAGTATATATGAAATAGTACTAGGTCAAAAGGCCCAAGCAGTGAAATCACAGCTAACCTGGACTACTGAGGAATATATCCCACCTCTAATCTTTTCCCCTTTGACCTTCAGATGGCTTATCAGAGAAGTAGAAGGATCTAAGATGCTAAGTAAGAATTATAGACAACTAAATGAACTTGGGTTAACAATGACTGACACTATGTGTATAGGAAGATTTTTCAAATCCCTGAATGATTCGTTTCGTTTTGTCTTTTTACTCTTATCAGTGCAGTTTGCAGTCCCAATGCATTTTAGGTATCAACAGGAGCTTCTCTCACTTGGAAGTCAATGTTTTAAAATCTAGCTGTGGAAACTCCAATTATCTAGCATTTGATGTGAACTGTTAAAGTAGATACAGGGGCTGTTGTTGTGACACATCAGGTTAAGTTGCAGCCTAGAATGTCAGCATCCTATGTGAGTGCCTCTTTCAGCACCAGCTGCTCCAGTTTCAATTCATTTCCCTGTTAATGCTCCTGGAAAAGCAACAGAAGATAGCCTATCTACTTGGGCCCCTACCACCCACTGGATAAGGTTCCAATTCCAAGGGACCTGATTTCAGCCTGGCCCAGCCCTAGTAATCATGGCCATTTGGGGAATGAACCAGCGGATGGAAGATCTTTCTCTCTATGTCCTTTGTCTCTTCCTCTCTTTCTGTAACTCTGACTACAGCTTCATCTAGATCTCCCATGTGGGTGATAGGGGCCTAAAGACTTGGGCCATTTTTCACTGCTCTTCCCATAGGAAGTAGAAGTCAGGACATGAGTAATGTACATGGGATGCTGGTGTTGCAGGTGGCATTCACTGGCCTGAAATATTTAAAAAAAAAAACAAACAAATAAACAATCAAAAAACTGAAGTGGATTTAAGCAACTGTCCTAAACTGAGTTTAGACAGCAAAATTTCTCAATGCCTTGACTGGCATATTGATCAGGGTAGACTTGGAATGCCTAAACGGTGGCAGATGCCTAACTATGGAAAAGTTCAGGGGCACTCCTGAAGAGTGCAATCATCTGTGGTAACCAGAGAGACTCAACTCTAGGTCACGCAAAGGATTTTGTCTATCCATTAAATTCTTAGCCTTAGCATAATAGGCATACAGAACATTGCTTAATTTTAGAAACAGCATGACATGTATCTGGGTAATAAGCAAAGCTACTTGGTCCAGTCCCTAGACAAACACTGGGATTTGTATGGGACCATGATAGCCTCATAAGTACTAAGTATTTTCTAACAGCTATAGCTAATTTTTTAAAAAAAAGATTTACTTATTTTTATTGGAAAGTCAGATTTTACAGAGAGAAGGAAAGACAGAGAGAAAGATCTTCTGTCAAGATTCACTCCACAAGTGGCCACAATGGCCAGAGCTGAGCTTATCTGAAGAAAGAGGCCAGGAACTTCGTTCAAATTTCCCACATGGGTACACAGTCCCAAGGTTTTGGGCCTCCTCTACTGCCTTTCCAGGCCACAAGCAGGGAACTGGAAGGGAAGTGGAGCAACTGGGTCACAAACTTATATGGGATCCTGGCGCACATAAGGCAAGGACTTTAGCCACTTGGTTACTGTGCTGGCCCCTGCAGCTGATTTTTTAAAAATTGATTTGAGGGGCCGGCGGCATGGCCTAGTGGCTAAAATCATTGCCTGGAAAGCGCTGGGATCCCATATGGGCGCCGGTTGTAATCCTAGCAGCTCCACTTCTCATCCAGCTCCCTGCTTGTGGCCTGGGAAAGCAGTCGAGGATGGCCCAAAGCTTTGGGACCCTGCACCCGTGTGGGAGACCCGGAAGAAGTTCCTGGATCCTGGCTTCGGATCGGCATAGCATCAGCCGTTGTGCTCACTTGGGGAGTGAATCATCGGATGGAAGATCTTCCTCTCTGTCTCTCCTCCTCTCTGTATATCTGACTTTGTAATAAATAAATAAATCTTTAAAAAAAATTGATTTGAAAGCTGAGTGATAGAGTCACAGAGGGAGACACATACAGAGATCTTCCAACACATATACACAGACAGACTTTCTAATTGCTGGCTCACTTTCCAAATTGCCACAATAGCTATGCCTTGGCCAGGCTGAAGCCAGGAACCAGGAATTCCATCCTGGTCTCCCACATGGGTGGCAGAGGTCCAAGCACTTGGGTGATCATTACCCAAGAGCTGAATTGGAAATGGTGGAGCCAGGACTTGAGCAAGCACTTTGATATAGGATGCTGGCATCATAAGCAGCGGCTTGATCTGCTGCGCCACCCCACCAGGTCCTGGCCATGGATCCTTTTGCAAATTACAAACACACCCTCCTGGCTGGGCCATACAATACCAACTTTTTCCATGGTGTTCCTCATCAGCATTAGTGAAGTCTTCAAAATATATATTTTCCCATGCCTTGCATGGAGAAGAGTCTCTTTATCAGACTCTCCTCAAATTGTCCAGTTTGAGCATGCTACTTGCTTCCTGCCAGAACTCTGATGGATACAACCTACCACGATTGGTGTGGCATGAACAGTGTTGGAGAGGGGTCAACGTGCAATTGAGAAAATAAGACAGACACAAGATAAAGATTATGAAAGCAAGCAGCTTGAGGGAAGTCCCCTTTCTCTGAGGAAGGAGGGTGATCTAGAAGGCCCACTGCCTCAATTCTTTATTGAACTGCTTGGGGAATCAGACTGCAGGAGTTGATGTGGAACAAATATTGATATCTACACTCTCCACTGATGTTAAGCAGCCAATGCTTGGTGATCAGAAAGCAACAATGTGACCCATGCAGTCAGTACCTGACTGCCTCAAGGATATCTTAAAGCACACAGCCCTGTCACCTAGGATCATTGCCCAACCTTGGGTCCTCGCCCACAGGTCTCAACCTCAGTCTCAGACTTTGGCCCACTTACAGATCATTGCCTGCAAAGTTTGACCTCAGTCTCGGGCACCAGGTACAGTCTGTTCCTACTCCGCATCAAGTCATGCTGTTATTCTTTACAAACTGCCTGTGGTACAACCTAAAACTGGCACCGACAGCAAGTAGAACTGTGAGCTGAGAATCAGCGCTTTCATGGGTAGGTATGTTTCAGGTCAATTGGCATAGTTTTTTACATGAGCCCATTTCATTGTCTTTATAAGGAAACTGGAAAGCCCGGCATTATAGTATAGGCAGTCAAGCTGCTGCCTGCAATGCTGGCCTTCCAAATGGTCTCCAGTTTGAGTTTCCACTTTCTGTTCAGCTCCCTGCTAATGCTCCTAGAGAAGCAGATGAAGATGGCCCAAGTGCTTGGACCCCTGTACCCACATGGGAAGCCAGGAAGAAGCTCCTGCCTCTTGGCTTCACCCTGGCTCAGCACTGGCTATTGTGGCTGTTAGGGAGAGAGCAGCAGGTGGCAGATCTCTCTCTCTCTCTCTCTCTATATATATATATATATATATACACACACAGATATAATTCTGTTTCAAATAAATAAAAAAAATTTTAAAGGGGGGGATCTGGATTTAGAGGCCTATTTATATAGCTTGCTAAAGTTCTCCTTAAAGCTATTAAGGAGCAGAATCAGATTGAAATCCATTTCAGTTTGGCTCTATCAACATCACCCAGCCATGGAAGTGAGTCTAGGTCCTTCAGCTCCAGAGAAAAAAAGATGCTAGCAGCTAAAGGAGTGGGAGAGCTGAGGGTCATGTTTAACTGATCAAATGAATTCTAATCACTTGCATGCTTTTTCTCTGAGATTTATTTATTTGAAAGCAGAGTGGAAAACAGAAAGGGAATAAAAATAAATAAATAAACAAGAGGGGTGGGGAGAATGAAGGAAAGGGGAGGGGAGAGAACCAGAGAGCAAGCAGAAAAATGTATCTTCTGTCCGCCAGTTCACTCCCCAAGTGACTGCAAATGCCATGGCTGGGCTAGGCAGCAGCGAGGAGTCTGGAACTTCATTTGGGTCTCCCACGTGGGTGGCAGGACCCTAGTACTCAGGGCACCTTCTGCTGCCTTCTCAGAAGCATTAGCAGAGAGTTGGATCTAAACTGGAAGGACGGGGACTCGAGCTTGAGTCCCTACGGGATGCCGGCCCTACAAGCGGGCTTCACCCCTTATCTCTCAAACCTTTAGTATCACCAGTCCTTGCAGTCACCAGGCTGGATCGCGGGATTAGGCAGTTACAGAGGACTTCTTTGTTTCCACTCAGGTCACAGGACTATTTGCACACACACACACAAAAAAACCAACTTCACTTAGCATCTTGAACAGCGTCCCAGAGTCCAACCAATGGGAGTACTGAGAAAAGTGGCCTTACAAAGTGGAGAGGGGCCAGGCCCAGCCCACTGCTCCTCTAAACTGAGACGTCCATTCGCTGCCAATGGTCCATTCAGAATGGCGGCGACGGTGAGCGTGGAGCCCGCGGGCCCCTCCTGCTGGGACGAGCCGCTGCGCATCGCCGTTCGCGGCCTGGCCCCCGAGCAGCCAGTCACGCTGCGCTCGGTCCTGCGCGACGAGAAGGGCGCGCTCTTCCGCGCCCACGCGCGCTACTGCGCCGATGCCCGCGGCGAGCTGGACCTGGAACGCGCGCCCGCGCTGGGCGGCAGCTTCGCCGGGCTCGAGCCCATGGGGCTGTTCTGGGCCATGGAGCCCGAGAAGCGCTTTTGGCGGCTGATCAAGCGGGACGTGCAGACGCCGTTCGTAGTGGAGCTGGAGGTGCTGGACGGCCACGACCCCGAGCCGGAGCGGGTGTTGACCCGCGCGGTGCTGGAGCGCCACTTCTTGCCGCCGGGGGTGCGGCGTGAGGCGGTGCGCGCGGGCCGGGTGCGGGCCACGCTCTTCCTGCCGCCAGGTGAGCCCTGCGGTCCGGGGTCCCCATACTCTTACAAGAAGAGTTGCTCCAGACATTGCAGATATCTGTGGGCAGAGATACCTGAGGGGTGTAGGCTTGTTACTCTAGAACTGATTGGTCCTCAAATGTAGTGTTCAGGTAAAATTAATTTTAAGACAGCGGGAGCAGGCTGGGAGAGAAAGGAGGTATTTGTAATTAAAAAATATATTTTAAAAAATATTTGATTATGAGGTCGGCACAGCTTTGCAAGCTAACCCTTCACCTGCAGTGCTGGCATCCTGTATGGGTACCAGTTCAAGTCCCAGCTGCTCCACTTCCAACCCAGCTTCCTGTCTATGACCTGGGACAGCAGCATAGGTTGGACCAAGTCATTGGGCCCCTGCACACACCTGGAAGACCTCGAAGAAGCTCATGACTCCTGGGGAGTAAATCGGCAGATGGAAAACATGTCTCTCCTTCTCTCTGTAAATCTGCCTTTCAAATAAAAATCAGTAAATCTTTAAGAAAAAAATATTTGTTATTTGACAGGCAGAGCAGCAGACAGAGAGGCATGGGATAGAGCTTCCATTATTGTTTCACTCCCCCAAAAGCCACAACAGCCAGATTGGGACAGGCGGAAGCCAGGAGCCTGGAATTCCATCTAGGTCTCCTATGTTGTGGCAGGGACCCAAGTAGTGGGATGATCATCTGCAGCTTCCAGGGGTTCATGAGCAGGAAGCTGGATTGGCAGAACGGGAGGCAGGACTCAAACAGAACTCTGACATGGGATGTGGCAGCCAAAAACCTACCCCTGTAGATTATTTGGGGTCTTAAAAATAATATACACCGTGGGGACTTAGAGAATGTGGATTTGGCTTGGGCCACTCTTAATTTGCTTGAAGACCACAGGCTTGTCAGTGTTTTTAATTGGTCATAGAAAATTTTCGATTGGCCATAGAAAGCAGGCAGCAAATGGCTTTGCACACCAGTGCTGAGGGCCTCAGGACTCATTGTGTGTTTTGTGTCTTCCCAAGGCCCCGGGCCCTTTCCTGGCATTGTGGACATTTTTGGCGTTGGAGGTGGCCTTCTGGAGTACCGGGCTAGCCTGCTGGCTGGGAAGGGCTTCGCTGTGCTGGCTCTGGCGTATTACAACTACGAGGACCTCCCCAAGGGCCTGGAGACCCTCCACCTGGAGTACTTTGAAGAAGCTGTGAACTACCTGCTCAGTCACCCTGAGGTTAGAGCTTCTCTCTGTTTTCGGGGCCGTCCTTTGTGTGGTCTCATGAGTGTTCTTAGTTCTCACAGAATTGAGGTCATTTGTAACAACTACTCCCTTCTCCAAACACAACACTTTTTGCTGATAATAAAGACAATGTATCCTGCAAACACAGCTGTCAAAGGGACATGGAGAAACAGCCTAGTCAGTAGCACTGATGTGGTCAAAGGATTGTCAACAAAATTCTAGAGATCCTAGAGCCATGTTATGAAGGAGAGTGAGTGGAGAAGTAACTGCAGGGGTGAATTCTTCCCACATGAGAGTGGGTAGGGTCCCAAATACTTACAGCCTGGTGGCCTCTGGCAAGAACAGAAATACTTTTTGGAAATAGGAGGAAGTCAGGGAAGTGAGCTCATGTGAAAGTTGCTGAATTTGGTGGTGAAAGAATGAGAAGTTCCTAACAGCTAGCTTATGTATGCTCAATGAGGTAACGCACAGCTGAAAGTAAAGTGGAATGTGGGATTTGCAGTTGCTTGCAAGGGTAGGAGAAGTAACGATATGATTTTCCAGTCTCAGAAAGCAAATATACCAGGGAAGCTGGGCGGGCCTGGAGGGCAAGGTGGGGCGCTGGCTTGAAATTAGTGAGTAAGAAGTAAAAGTGAAGAATGTGGGCACAAAGATGTATTTTAATTTTTCTTCAGCACTGGTCATTCACAGAACTGCATATGGATTTAACAAGTAGACTAAACCAGTGTTGCACTTTTTCCAGGCCAGTATGACACAAGGAGAGTGGCATTCAAATAGTTAAGAGTTGTTTAAGATTTTTTTTTTTTTTAAATTTGAAAGGCAGGTTTTATAGAGAGAAGGAAAGAAAGAGAGAGGAAAGATCTTCCATCCACTGGTTCACTCCCCAAATGGCTGGAGCCTCTTCCTGGTCTTCCATTTAGATGTAGGGGCCCAAGGCCTTAAGCCTTCCACCACTACTTTCCTAGTCCACAAGCAGGGAGCTGGGTGGAAAGTGGAGCAGCTGTGACTAGAACCAGTGCCCATATGGGATTGCCAATGCTTCAGGCAGAGAATTAACACTAGTCCTGCATTAAGAGTTTTTACAAGGGAGTGACCACACTGATGAAGCTGAAAGTTCTAAGGGAAGAGGTGGGAAGAGAGAACATGAGAGAGAGAAGTTGATGGTGTCTCAAAGAGGCAGAAGTGGGGGATGACTGGGATGGCTCAGCTGCAAATGTTGAAGATGGTGATTGGGGAGTGAAATGTTTGGTACTGAGACCTTGGAGATAATGCACCTGCTGATGAGAATGGTAGTGGATGGCTCAGGTGGGACAGAGGAATAGATCATGTGACGTCTTGGAGGTCCAGGAACTGAGAAGCCAGATATTGGAAAGCTGCTCCATGGGGTGCTAAAGTAAAGAATGGCAATGGATAAATAGTGCAAAGCAAGATAGAGAGGAAGATAAGTGAATTACCCTAGGTTGTAAGCCTGAGTAAATGGTGGTATTTAGATCCAGTCTCAGGTCCATCTGATTGCAAGCTTGGGTATTCCTTACTATACTGTACAACACCATATGTGGACTCATACTTACTTCTTTTTCCTCTGTTCCCTTCTCAGGTGAAAGGCCCAGGAATTGGACTCCTGGGAATTTCCAAAGGGGGTGAGCTCTGTCTCACCATGGCCTCCTTCCTGAAGGGCATCACGGCCGCCGTCATAATCAATGGATCCGTGGTCATTATTGGGGGAACTTCACACTACAAGGATGTGACCCTGCCCCCCATAGGTGCCAACAAGAGTCGAATCAAGATGACCAAAGATGGCTTAGTGGACATTGTGGATGCCCTAGACAGCCCTTTGGAAGAGCCTGGCCTGAAGAGCTTGATCCCTGTGGAAAAGGCTGAGTGCTCCCTCCTGTTCCTGGTGAGTGAGGATGACCACAACTGGAAGAGCGAGTTCTATGCCAATGAGGCCTCCAAGCGCTTACAGGCCCACGGGAAGGAGAAGCCCCAGATCATCTGTTACCCTGGGGCAGGACACTATCTGGAGCCCCCCTACTTCCCCTTGTGCCGGGCTTCCCACCACGTATTGGTGGGTGGGCCTGTCTTCTGGGGAGGGGAGCCCAGGGCTCATGCTGTGGCCCAGGTGGATGCTTGGGAGCAACTGCAGGCTTTCTTTCACAAACACTTGGGTGGTAAGAGTTAGAGGTGCTACATGGAGATTTGAAACAAATTATATAACCCATCTTTTATAGGTTTAGAAGATGAAACTCTCCAGAAACTTCAGTTACATTAGTTCACTTGACTGTAATATCATATGTCTTTCAGATTTTTTTCATCCTTTCTCTTTACATTTTAGTGTTAAAAATTGCTTCCATAAAAAAGAATGACATGTTAGGAATGACTAAACAGTTATAAGTAAATGTTTTTTCAGATTTGAAGGTAAGGGATATACAGCAGTCACTCAATAGGCTAATCTTCCTATAGCGCCAGCATCCCATGTGGGTGCCAGTTCTAGGCCCAGCTGCTCCACTTTCCATCCAATCCCCTGCTTATGGCTTGGGAAAACAGTAGGGTATGGCCCAACATGTTGGCCCCTATACCCATGTTACCTGCTGGGAGCTCCTGGTTCCTAGCTTTGGATTGGCTCAGCTCTGGCCACTGTGGCCAGTTGGGGCGTCAGCAGTTGGAACATCTTTCTGTCTTACTCCTCTAAATCTGCCTTTCAAATAAAAATACATTTTTCTTTTTTAATAAAGGTAGAGACATTTAGGGACGAATGTTTTCTTCTCAATACTTGGAACACTGTTACTCCCATCATCTCCCTCCCTAAAATTAACCTTTATAATGATCCTGTTGTTATGCTTAACATATATGTATGTAGCAATAAAAATACTACTGCTATTTGTTGCATAAATATTTTAACAATATTAATTAGATGATGGGGGCAGAGAACTATTGAATCACACATGAAGCTGCAGCAACACGTGAAACTTGGAAGGGTTTTAGTCCGGGGAGAACAGAGGAGTGGCTGTGGGGAGAAATGATGTTTGCAGGTTACTCATTTTATGTCAGTCACAGTCCTCACAACCATCCTGGGTAAGTAAAACAATCTGTATGGGCATAAGACTCTTGGTTGCAGAATTCATCTGTGCCAGAGTCAGTCCTCCAGCCAAAGGAAGAATAGAAAACAATCTAAAATCTCTCTTTCTTATAATGAAAATTCTGATATTTATGTGTTGAACATTATGAACCAAAAGGGCTATCCCACATAATTTAGTAGCAAGGCTTATAAGACTATAGTTAATATGGGCGATCACATCCTTTTGTAGTATAGACGTTTTTAAGATATTTAAGATACTTATAATTGAATTCCAGAAGAGAAAATAAATAAGAAGGCATTATATTTTAGTGGGGGAAACAAAAGTTTAAGAGTTAGGATATAATCAATGTAGTAGAGTTTTATCTGAACTCAACCCTTCATGAATCAAACCAGAAGAGGCTGATAGCGCTCTGTGCAGCAGGTTTCCAACAGTGAGGTTTAATGTGGCGTGGAAGTCTAGTAGATACATGGACTGCTGTGGCTGGCTACAGCTGAGCATTTGCCTTACTTGAGCAGGATCCCATAAGTTGGTGCCTGTGATAGGTTGAAGCTCAGTTGTATGTGAGCTCCACTATGCTAAAACTCAGCTATTTGTTACCAAGAAAAATCTATTGTAGTAAGTCACGTTTGGTTTCTTTGCATAATAATTAAGGCTGCATCTTGTTAGGCAGGATCTCAAAGTGCAGAGGCAGTGTGAGGTCTGTGCTTCCTGCTTACTTTACAACTGCCATTGGGAGGTTATTACATTAAGGTGAGAGAAGAGAAGCCGTGTCCAACTTGGTGGAGGGGAGGGGAGAACTTAGGAAGTGGTATTTGAGGTGGAACCTGAAGAGAAGGAGTACTCAAAATTTAGGATTTATAGGGGCCCAATGCAGTAGCAAGTGCCTAACTCCTCACCTTGCATTGTGCCAACATCCCATATGGGTGCCAGTTTGTGTTCCAGTTGCCCTACTTGCCATCCAGCTCCCTGCTTGTGGCCTGGGAAAGCAGTAGAGGATGGCCCAAGGCCTTGGGACTCTGCACTCATGTGAAAGACCCGGAGGAAGCTTCTGGCTCTTAGCTTCGATTGGCTGAGCTCTCGCTGTTGTGGCTAATTTGGAAGTGAACCAGATGATGGAAGATCTTTATCTCCTTCTCTGTATATCTGCCTTTCCAAGAAAAATAAATAAATCCTAAAAAAGAAATTTAGGATTTGTGGGTTTTTCTAAGGTGAATGCATGTTTAAAAATAATGAAAACTATAAAGAAGTTAAACATGAGCCTGGCATTGTGGTACAGTGGTTTGGGCCTGTGACGCTAGTATCTCATATAAACACCAGTACAGGTTCCAGAAGCTCCACTTTGGATTCAACTTTCTGCTAATGCACCTTGAGAAAGCAGCAAACAGCTCAAGTGCATGAGCCACTGCCACCCAAGTGTGGGAGGAACCAGAGGGATTCTAGGCTCCTGGCTTCATTTGGTCCAGTCCTGGCTATTTTAGCTATTTGTGAAATAAAGCAACAAATGGACAATTCTCTCTGTAACTCTATCAAAAAAATATATGTATTTTTTTTGTTATTGGAAAGGCAAGTCTACAGAAAGATCTTTATATACTGGCTTACTCTCCAGGTGACTGCAATGGCTGGAACTGAGTTGATCCAAAGCCAGGTGTCAGGAGTGTTTTCCAGGTCTTCCACACTGGTACAGTGGTCCTAGGCTTTGGGCCATCCACTACTGCTTTCCTAGGCTATAAGCAGGGAGCTGGATGAGAAGTGGAGCAGCTGAGATAGGAACCAGTACCAATATGGGATCCTGGCACTTGCAAGGGAAGGATTAGCTAATCAAGCCATCACACCAGGTCCAACTCTGCCTTTAAAATAATAAATCTTGGGCCCAGCTCAGTAGCTTAGTGGCTAAAGTCCTCATCTTGTACACACACGGATCCCGTATGGCTGTCAGGTTTCATCCCAGTGGCCCTGCTTTCCATCCAGCTCCCTGCTTTTGGCCTGGGAAAGCAGTGGAGAATGGCCCAAAGCCTTGGAACCCTGCACCTGTGTGGGAAACCTGGAGGAAGCTCCTGGCTTCAGATCAGTGCAGCTTCAGCTGTGGCAGCTGCTTGGGTTGTGAATCAAAGGATGGAAGATCTTCCTCTCTGTCTGTCCTCTTTTCTATATATCTGCCTTTCCAATAAAAATAAAATAAATCTTAAAAAAAGTTAAAGTTATTAGTGGTTTGTTATTAGTGTTATTAGCGGTTTGTTTCTAAATTGTACAGCATATGGAAAGTGAGTCAGAAAGTAATTTTACAATGAAGAAACAGGAGTATTGCTTTAGCCAGTTTAGGCAGATCAACATCATTAGTGATAAACTGAACTGACAACAGGCATCTTTCACATGATGTGTTTGTAGTCCTCCTGCTCAAAACAACCCAAGTCTGTTCAGGAAGAAAATGTGAAGCATACACAAAATAACGGGCAATCTTCAAAAATATCTGATAAGTACTACTTAAAACAGTCAACATCAAGCAAAAAGACAAGAAATGTCTAAGGAACTGCCAGAGTCAAGAAAAACACAGAACATAAGAACATATGACCACTGAAAGTATCCTGAAACAGAAAATGACGGTAGGAAAAATCAGCAAAAGATGACTATATCGGAGAGCAGCTCTGGCTACTTCAGAGCTTGCAAAGGAAGCATGGATCAGCGAAAAGACAAGAAGTGACACGGACCACTATGTTCATTACGGCACGATGCTCATTACGGACAACTCAGAAAAGCTGACTTTTCTATCTATACAGAAATCATCACAAGCTTTTGCACAACATGCAATTGTTTCACTTTTACAGCATGGTTAAAAGAATACAAAAACAATCCTAAAAAATATTATTAATGTTTTACTTCAAATAAAACGTTTTCAGCAAACCATTATTCGTTCAAACCTGTGGTCACCTGGCTGAAGCGAGGAAGGCCATGGTTGGCAGCACATGGGGTTAATAGTGACCGTTTTCTTATATCCAAAATCAATTTTCCACTAAACTTAAACTAATATTACTTAAAATATCAAGAATACAGAATTAAAAGGAAAGCTTATAAATGGAAGGAATGTATAAAGGCATATATCATAGATTATTAAATGTTATAATCAGTCATACACTAATTGCCATCGTCTTCACCTAGTACTGATTCAATTGATTTTTGTTCTTTTGTTAAAGGGCAGTGAAAAGGATCAGGGCAACTCAGCCTTCCTATGAACAGAGGGCCTTTATAAGAAACTTCTTTTTATTGTTTTAAACGGTTTCCTTTCCCTAAATATAAGCGCCAGTATAAGGTAGAAGTTTTAAATCATTTTTCTCTGGGGGTTCACATTTATCTCCCTTTAGAAGATGCCCCATATACTTTCTGCTTTATGTGGTGGGAAGCCAAAATGCATCATTTCATGTGTTGTAACAATTTGAGGCTGCACACTAAACAAACTTTGTACCTCTATAATTGCCATCTGTTCCAAGATATTATCAAGCCATTTCTTATGGAGAACATCATGCAGGTCAAAAGTGGGCACATAAGACATTTGGGAACAACATAGGCTCAATTATGTTACTGTATGCTTTTAGCTGTGTCTCATTGCTTTAGGTTGCTAAAGCAACCTTTACCTTTGGTAAATCCTTTTACCAGGATTGATAAAATCAGTTTTCAGTTACAGAAATCATTTCACATTTGCAGAAAAACAACACCTTCAAGAAAATTCCATGAAATATCAGAGAGGTGATCCAGTGTCCACACAATGAAGTGAGGCAGCAATGAGATGATCAGAGACATTCGGCCAGGCCTTGCCATTCAGCCAGAAACTCCTTGTAGCCTTTCTAACCGAGAAATTGTGCTCATCACACATGCTGACCACCCCAACTGCATAGCCCCCTGCATGAATGTAGAGTTTAGCTAGTAACGGTGTATTAATACTGAATTACTAGCTGTCACAAACGTACTATGGCAATATAATAGGCTAACAATTAGGGAAACTAGGTGCTGACTATACAAAAGTTCTGTAGGGTTTTCCAGTTTTTCTGTAAATCTAAAATTAGTTTAAAAAGTTGAGCTGGTGCTGTGGTGTAGCAAACTGGAAATGCCAGCACTCCACATGGGCACCATTTTGAGTCACAGCTTGCTCTACTTCTGATCCAGGTTTCTGTTAATACACCCGGTAAAGCAGCAGAAGATGACCCATGTCCTTGGACCTGCAACAATATGGGAGACCCTGATAAAGCTCATGGTTCTTGGCTTCAGACTAGCTCAGCTCTGGTCATTGTAGCCATCTGGAGGAGTGAACCAATAGATGGAAGTTCTTTCTCTGTAACTTTGCCTTTCAAATAAATAAATATCTCTTTTTTAAAAAGCAAAAAGTTACTTTTAAAAGATTTTGTAAAAATCTATTTGAAAGACAGAGTTGCAGGGAAGAGACAGAGAGATCTTCCAACTGCTGGCTCCCTCCTCAGATGGCTGCAATGGCCAGGGCTGGGTCAGGCCAAAGCCAGAGCTAGGAAACTGGAGCTTCATCCATGGGTTCCATATGAGTGCAAAGGTCTCAGGTTGGGCCACCCTCTGCTGCCTTCCCAGGTCATTAGCAAGGAGCTGGATTGAAAGTGGAGCAGTCAGAACTCAAATTGGCACCCATATGGAATATAAGCAGAAGCTTAACTTGCTATACCACAATACTGCCTTTATCTAAATTTTTTTTAAGATTTATTTTTATTGGAAAGTCAGATATAGAGAGGAAGAGAGACAGAGAGGAAGATCTTCCACCAACTGATTCACTCCCCAAATGGCTGCAACAGCTGAAGCTGAACCAATCTGAAGCCAGGAGCTGGGAATGCCTTCTGGGTCTCCCATGTGAGTGCAGGGTCCCAAGGCTCTGGGTTGTCCTTGACCATTTTCCCTGGGCCAAAAGCTAG